TTCGCGACTCGCGCGTTGTCGGCCGGCCATGTGAATGTTATAATCAGCCTCTCCGCGTACCTACATGGCGCCTTGATGATAGACCTCGACACCATCCATCCTCCCTGGGACTCCGATAGTAGCCCTGGACTGACGGACGGACGGACGGTCCCGGTCATTCAATTGTTCGATAATCTATTAGAAAAGACAGCGGTTAACGACCTCTTCCTCCCTCCGTCTTGTTCTCTCTCTCTCTCTCTCTCTCTCTCTCTCTCTCTCTCTCTCTCTCTTTCTCCCTGTGAAAAGTAGTCTGCAGGCGTGATACCGTAAACCTATTTTCAGACGCGAAATTGCGCCTCGTAAAAAGCGCGCAAGGCACATAGCGGAACATTGTCCATAACCGCCGTTTCCCTCCCTCCTCCTTTCTTCATCTACCTCCTCCTCTCCCTCTTGCTGCTTTTTCTTCTTCTACTCTTCTTCCTCCTCCCCCTCCCCCTTCTCCTTCTTTTCCGCGCGTTCGTGCGCTGTGCGCATACGGCCGTATTTTCTACGGGATGCAGTCAGCGCATGCAGCGAGACAGAAATCGCCTCGGATTAGTCGCGCTTCTACGTGAGGCGAATCACTCGTTTTAATTGGCCGCACTCGAGACCCCGGACGACGAATTGCGTCAACTTGAGCGAACTCGAGATACGGCGGGATTCACGTTCGCGCGCATCACGTTCTCGGAAACGGAGCGATCGAAAATTCTGTCTCATCTTAAATCTCCGTCTTACCTTTATCGTCAATACTTTTCTCTATCTTCAATAATTTGAGAGTTGATAAAGCGGGTGCGCGCCGTCGAGACTTCGAGGTCGAAAGTCGGAGCTTTGAAAGACGATAAGGCGCGGAAGCGTGTCGTTATTTATCATGCCTCGAGTCACTCTGCATATCGGTGAAAGTTCATCTAAATCGAAGAATTCAAGTTTGTAATATTTCCTCGTCAATTATCTCGAATGAGCTTGAAAGCAGTCAAATGTCTCCGGTCACGGCAACAGATACATCGTTTGTGACTCATGACTTTTCGTTCGGTTTCTATCAAAACACACGAACCGAGACGTTTTTTCCTCCGCCCTGAGGAGGAAGCGATATTTTACGTTCGCCGGAGGCTACCGTCGCGCAAACGATTCCTCGCATGACTTTGATTCTATGAGCGCGCAGCGTCACGATAGCTCTTATTTTCTCAACTTTAAATAGTTCTCGAGCCGACTTCCCGGCAATCCAGTTACATCAGTGCCTCGTTTCGATACGCGTTTTCTTCGTCGCTTCGAAACTCGAAGTAATCGAGGAAGTAGCTCGCGTTGCTCTGCAAAAGTTCATCCATCTTCGAGAGCGTTCCCCCCTCTCTCTCTCTCTCTCTCTCTCTCTCTCTCTCGCTGGAACGCGACTTACCGCGGAAACTATGATGCGCGATTCGTATCGTACCTGAGCGACCGTAGGTGCTATTATTACAGCTTATCTTGTAATGGAAGAGACCGATGTAAAAAACGGCAGGATACAGTCCGTAAATAAACTGTAAAGATAGGAATTTGGAATGTCCGATTTGTTCTCCCTTTTTCGACATGATGTTCCCGCCCAGGATGCAGCAACAGTCATCGAAAAACACGCAGGAAATTGAAAATCGGCGGAGAATAGGAAATTGAGAGCAAACAATTATACAACAATCTCTGAACGATTTGGAAAGCAGGATTTGAGCTCTCACGAGAGTCGAGAGAAAGAAGCAAATCCCAAGTTCGCTGAAAGCAAAAGTCCTGTAATGAACGAAAATGTACACACAGCTACGGCATATCATTTCTCAGTCACCGGCGCAATTTACACCGGGCTCGACGTTTGTCGTTGGAAATAATATACTCTGTGGTTGCGTACAATTCACCGGCCGACACAATTCACCGGAGGACGAGAGAGAGAGAGAGAGAGAGAGAGAGAGAGAGAGAGAGAGAGAGAGAGAGAGAGAGAGAGAGAGAGAGAGAGAGAGAGAGAGAGAAAGACGGAGTGGTCCACGAGAGGAGGAGCTCTCCGGGTGCTGTCGGACGCATGTCTTCTGCAAATTGGCGAGATTAGAGTAAATTCGGGTCAGGCCACGCAATTATATATCTCTCTCTCCCTCCTTTTCTCTCGAGAGTTAACGCGGATCGTTCTCGCGTGGCGCCCGGACGGGCGAGAGCAGGCGATGCATCGCCAGACATAAAGCAGGTTGATAGTCCAATTAACGCGAGTGCCCACTCGCGGAGTCGAAAGGGGAGAGAAAGAGAGAGAGAGAGAGAGAGAGAGAGAGAGAGAGAGAGAGAGAGAGAGAGAGAGAGAGAGAGAGAGAGAGAGAGAGAGAGAGAGAGAGAGAGAGAGTGAGAGAGAGTGAAGGAGGGAGAGACGTGCAGAGGCGTCGCTCCGTACATACGTCATGCGGCATATTTCCCGGCGCACCCATCCTGTCCCCTCCAGGACCTTTTGCTTCCTACGGCCGATTGATTATCCTCGTTACTTTACGCTTCTCGCATCTCCGCGGCTACCTTTCGCGTCTCGGCCGCGGGAGACGTGTGGGCATCAGCTCCGACGGCGCTGACGCGCACGAACGCGACGCGCTCTCGACAATGGAGTTTGCGAGCTGCGAAGAATAAAGCTGCGTGGAAATCACTCGTGGCCGATAGAACCGCTATTATCGTTGTTAACGATAATATCGATAGCAACAACGATGAGAGTAAAAATGACGCGTGGCGTATTTCTGTGCGTTGATCGGAAGCCACTGAAGCCATCTTAGCAGTGTTGGCGTGATAACTTGACATTCATAGCATAACTGCTGCTGCTACCTTTTTGTCAGAGCAGCAAGAAGGCGTCGTTCGGCTCCGAAAAGAACCGTAATATCATTCCCGTGACATTAACCGTATGTTTTCTCTCAGCGTAGCGAGCGACGCTGCTTTGTCTCGCGGCGGTTTCGCCGTGTCTAATTAATTTACACGTAACTAACCGCATATAACGAGTGAGGTACGCGGTAAGGAGAGCTAGCTAATAAGCAATAAATACAGCCGATAATCAGTCATATTTACCATAACTTTGATTATTCAAACTTCAAACAAACTTCCACGGAAGCACCCGCGGAGTAGTCGCGGGGAGAGAAGGCGCCTGTATAATTATAATCTATTTTAGCAAGTTTTTCTCGCGCTCGGGGAAGGTGTTGGACTGAGCGAACGATGTAAAGGCCTGCGTCGACATCGCGTAAACGATCGACTGACGGACGATTTCGCGAACTCGCATCCGCTCTCGTCTCGAACGTCTCTATCAGCTCTCGCGACGGACGTGCAATCATCCGAGCTGCAGTAACGCGGAAACGTCCATTCATCATCGTGATGGTGCAACGCGCGCGATACGTAACGCGTCGCAAGAAGGAGAGAACCGCGTGCGTATCATTAATTAAACCGGAACATCGTTTCCTCGATTGCGAGTTAACGAGATTTCTCGCTGCGTGTGCCAGTCATTAATTCGCGAGCGCGCGACGCTCGTAATTAAATCATTCCGAGGTGTCGCTCCGCAAATCTCGCGCCGAGAAGACTCTCCCCGAGAGAGGGAGAGAGAGAGAGAGAGAGAGAGAGAGAGAGAGAGAGAGAGAGAGAGAGAGAGATCCGAACGGACGTTTAAACCCAGAAGTTTGCAAGATAATCGTCGTCCCGCTTGGAATCCACCATTTCTCCTGAGTTTTTCGGCGCCGACGTGGCACTCTCCGTCTCCCGCGACCGAGCAATTTCTTCTTCTTCTTCTTGACGAATTAAGAAGTCGAAATTGAAATGAAAGAATTATTAGGAATTAAGCGACCCCCCCTCTCGAAACAATGAAAAGATTGGTGACGCGTGCGCGCGTGAGCCACGCGCCATAGGCCGCCTCGTTAATTGAAATTGCGGTCCTAATTAGGAACCCCCTGTCGGCGTAACGAGGGGGACGCACGACTCGGGGGAGAAAAAGGAAGTGGCTCGTACTCTTAATTACTCGCCGGCCCTTTCCGATGCTCTTCGGCTCCTTTCTGCTTTTTTCTTTTTTTCCTTTTCAAACCCTTTTCTCTCTCGCGCGCGCACGCGACAGGAGCGCGCGCGTGCCGCGCGCCTCGTTAAGCAGAAATCAGCGCAGATTTGCGACCGCAAATTGCGTCTCCGCACCGTCGGGTGCGTCGGCGTATCAACGGCTCGTCGGTGCAGGGCGTTTGATTCGATCTCACCATTGTCAGCGTCCGCGTCTGATTTATATCCCACCCGCCTGCCGCTCTCGACAAGCGCGGCTGGAAACGTCGGGAAACGCGAAGATACGAGCGTGCGCAGCTCCGACGATAAGCAACGATGATCCCTCGGACATGGAGAAATCGTTGGCGAACGCGCGTTTCCTTCTTGTCTCGTCGGAACTTGAATTCGCGAATATAAAAGGAAAACGCGCGAGAGAAGAAGAAAGAGAGAGAAGCGTCATTTATTGAGCGCTCTGGGACAAAGTTCCCTCAAGCGCGAAGGCAGAAATCACAAAATAAAAGAAAATTAAAAATATAGTTTACAAGAAAAGTATATAATTAACACTGATGTGCAAAATGAAAAAATTAATATAAAAAAATATATAAAATAAAAATATACAAAAGCAGAAAGAAAAGTGTATATGCGTATACGCATACATGTATACTCGCATGTCCAAATATACGCAAAATTTGTAAGGCAGTCGGGAAAGAAATCGGCAGCGTCGGTTGAGATTCGCATGTGAGTGAGGCAGGCTCTCACGTTTGGTTCCCTAAGAGAAACTCATACAGGATAGTTTTAAGTAATTGGGCAGAATTTGTGTTTCCGACTACAACAGGTAAGCTATTCCAGAGTGATGCAGCAGTGACTCTGAAGGAGCGCTTAAATAATTCAGTGAAAGAGAGAGAGAGAGAGAGAGAGAAAGTCCCAATTGTCGCAAACTTCCTCATCATCGTCCACATGCGCCAGACACTGACCGGCTCGATGTTTTCGTGGTGTTTCAGGGTGTTGAAACCGCCCGGCGGCGGAAGCAGCGACATTTTCGGCGCGGGCCCGGAGGAGACTAGCCCGCGACGCGTCAAGACCCACAATCAGTCGCAGCTGGGTCTGGCGTTATTCGGCGACGCCAACGGTACCGACGCCGGTAACGGCAACGGCAACATGAACGTCGCCGTGTCGCCGCGCTCCAGCAGCAAGCCCGGTAATGATTCATACAATCGCCTGTTTGGCCCTCCCGATGCCCCACCCTGCACCCCAAACGCGAGAAATCACATGCGCAGCAATATCTCCCTCAGCGGGGGATCGTCAGCCTCGTCGTTATCGTCGGGCGCTGCAACGTCGCCCGCGAAGAGCACTGCCAGCAGCGGCAGCAACTCGACGGGCGTCGCCAACGGCTTTGCCGCCAGCAACGGCAGCAACTCGTTCAACGATATCACAGGTAAGGAGGCCCCTTCGCCGCGGCGACCGGGCGAGCGCGAGGTGTTTGACGGCGGTGCTCGCGGGTCGTGTCTCCGGCGGTCGGTCGACAGCGAGAGAGAGAGAGAAAGAGAGAAGGAGAGACAGTTCGTTAATTTTTAAATTTATTTATTAAATTTTTTATTTTTTATATTTGTTTTAATATAATTATTTTATTTCTAAATTTTTTTTTAATTTAAATGTAATTATTTTTTCTTTTTTAATTTATTTATTATGAACATGCAGTATAATAAATTAGAAGAAAAGACTAATAAATCGAAAGAAAGAAGAAGGAAAAATTTGTTACGAAAATTGTATCGCAATAAAAAAACAGACTTCTCGAGAAGGGCCTCGTTGTCAGGACGAGAACGACGATTCATTCCACGAATCGCGAGTCAATTGGCACTTGACGCGCGAGTAATCGTTGCGCGACAAGCGCTTCGATTGAGTTTGCATTTTTTGTCAACGTTCGCTGGATCAATGGAACGTGTCTGCGGGGATCTGCGTGAATTGTTGCAAGTTTGATGGTGTTCGTATATCGTCTCCCTGAAAAATGGCCGCTCTCGCGGTAACTCTCTTTCTCTCGCGGGAACGCGGGCCGCACCCCGAAACTACCCGCGCCGCACCACGGGAGATCCTGGTCCCGATCTAAGTTGAAATATGTGTGTGTCGCAGGCTCTTGGCTTGTGCGAGTCGTCCTTTTGTATCGATTATGCTATTCCGCACATTCTTGTCGCCGAGAACTTTTCCGCTATTACGATCAGAGAGACGCGTTCGATTTTTCTAGGAGTCTCACACGTGGAAAAATTTACGAACGTTGCTTTGTTACTTTTGCTACCTTTCGAGTGGAAAACACACCTTAAAGTTACCGCGTGTGAAACGAGTACACAAATTCCTCGCGTTTTTCAAGCGTGTATTCGAATCGATCAACTCTATTGTCATTATTGTTAGAATACTTCGATATTTTTACTATCTTACTTTCCAAACGCGATTCGTGTCTTTTCTTTTCTCTTCTTTTTTTTTTTTTTTTTTTTTTTTTTTTTTTCCCGCGAACCGAGCCGAGCTGATAGCCGCATCGGCTTTGCTCGTCGGTGCGGAGCTAGCGAGACACTAAGGGAGAAAGAGAGGGAGAAATAATTGAAATGGAAAGGAAGACGCGAGATGAACTTTCGTCTCGCTGTGCGATCCCGATCATATTGTCTAATCTGCCGCTTTTAATTACAAGTCACTTTCCTTGAACTGTTCGCAAGCAGCTTTTAGGAGAAAGAAACGATTTCGTAAGTGTGTAAAATGAGACATTCAAGTAGATGACACACGACACTACCACACTCTCTGTCTTGTTTGATCATTCAGTTAGACGCGAGTAATATCGCTCGGTCGATCTTTCGCGCGAACGTAACGCCAACGTGAGAAGTCGCGCGGTTAGTCACGAGAAAATTCGACATCGAGATTTCATTTCACGATTTCGACAGCGTGCTCTCGTGATTGTCATGTAGAACGTTCCCATCATGTGTCGCCAATGCATCATCGCGTATTACTCTCTAGGGCCTGCCACGAGAATGGAAACACATATTTTGAGTTAGACACGCCATATTTATCGCTTAGGCCTTAAGTTCGTACCGTACATACACACACACACACACACGCACACACACACAAACACACATTATTCCGCTAGTAACATTTATCTCGCTTTTACGTTACAATTATTCATTTACATTATGTTCCCCACGCGACTCGCTCACTCACAATGAACTTACGGTAAACGACATTGATTTGCATATTAATGCGAGAAACGATATAATCCGTCACGTTGCGACGTCAATTGCGACGAAAATTTAGTAGGCAAAGTTTGCTCCTGCGAAATGTATCAGGCAAACGGAACCACGGTGCATTGCGAATGCAACCGGAGATTATGAATTTTCATTGTTGTGGAAATTCGGAGAGACGGACAGACTACTCTTTTCGCGACAGACGGAAGGTATCTCGATGTCGTTTGCGAGATGTCATTCACGAATTTTCCCGCTGCGAACAAGGTGCACTGAGTCGCGATACCTTAGATAAGTTTAACAAATGCACGCACATTCGAGGAGACAATCTTCTTATCTTCCGATAACGCGACGGATTAATTTTGGAGTGACCGACGGGCACAAAAATATCACAGCTCTTCGTGGATACCTCACGGATCGGAATAACACGCGGTTTGTCTTTGCTTTTCTAACGCCATTTTTTTGTCATTTGGTTTGGGTTGTTTTGAGCTTCGTACTGTTACCGTTTATTAAATACTTATCCCTCGCCTCCCTCTACAACTTCAGCACAACACACACCGTTTCTACTTTGCTTTCACCTTAATTTCCGTCGCACGGACGAATCCGAGATATCTGGGACGCCTCTCTCTTGTTTCCGTCGGGAATTCATTCCCGAAATGAGTTAGCCGACGAATCAGACTCCCGGAGAGAGAAAATGGGAAAAGTGCGCAAGGGAAATGAATCAACGCGAGAGAGAAAGAGAGGGCGATTACAGTCGATTGGATGGAAAAGTCGCGACGCTTTAGTGTCTGAAGTGAAAATTTCCGAAATTTTGTTGCTTGGCCTATTAAATCAAGAAAATTCAAAAACTCAAAATTTGCACAATTTACAAAAGTTTAAGTCCATCGATTTAAGTTTATATAAAGAAAAGGAAAAAAAAGAAAAAAGGAAAAAATTCATTCTCGGCTCACCGACTTTTCTCTGTGTTTGGTTGCTTCGGTTGAAAAAAAGGGAGGGGGGAAACGAGAAAAAAGTAGTACGTCTCAATGATTCTCTCGTCCGGAGGAGAGAGTAAACTGTGTAAGCGCGCTGTATCTGCGATCCGTCCGTACGAATTGCCGCGCATTAACACGAGTTGGTTGGGTTACGGTTGTGGGTTTTGCGACGGTGTTACGGTGCATGGGGTGGTGGTGTTGGTGAAACGGCTCTGGCTCGCGCGTCGCTTCTCGGCGACGACGGCTGTGAACCGGTGGTGTGTTGTGAACGACGCGGGTCGGCTTGGACTCCGACGTCGCATCCCCCGCAGGAGGATCGTCCTGCGTGCCGGCGCGCAACCCGGTCACCGGAGACGGAATCGAGGTGACGCCCGTGAGGCGCATCGCACGAAAGTGTCGAGGTAACGTTCTCTAATTCCGATTACCCCTGTGATTCTCTGTCGTCCCCCCTTATGTCCCGCCACCCCCTCGTCCTGAGGACGCGCTTGCTCCTCCCCTGTAAAATGGCGGGTGGCATCCACCGCCGCCACCGGCGCGAAGTAGATTTACGTTTAAGTGATTAAGGGGATGTCCGGATATTCGGAGGATTGGTTGATTGAGTGAATTCTAACACGTTGACTGCCGCGTGTTGATCGTGCAAACGCCCCCAGCCCCGCCGACTTATTCGATTCCGCGTTAAAACGATACTCATCTAATCAGGCCAGTGGTCCAGGCGAGCGCAGGAAAGGAATCGCGGAAACGGCGTAAGAAAATCAATTACCGCCGAGAGAGTCCTGGCGGGGTTTCGCGGCTCGCGTACTCGCAATTGAACGTAATTGAACGTCTTCCTGAGCTAATAAGCTCGCGTTAATTGTCAGTGCGTACGCGCGAGGCGGCTCGTTATCCTTCTTTCCCGCGCGCGGCACGCGCATCGCAACGCAAATCGCGTTAAACTGCGTAATTAGAAAGAAAAAAGAGAGAGGGAGCCCGGGGTACGCCTGTATAAATATTTATGTGAAACCGATTAAGTTATCTCCCAAGTTTATCATCTCCCGCGCGCTCGCTCGCGAGATCGAAACGAGAGCCTCTCTCTCTCTCTCTCTCTCTCTCTCTCTCGGTAGTGCAGCATTTCGCCGGGATAAAAATCGAGCGTTGCTCGCTCGGGGAAACGTTCTCGCCGGAGAGAATGGCAGGGACGACGGGGGAAGGGAAAGAAGGATTCCGAACGGTAACGAATTGTTTATCGAGCGAAGTAGAATTATGAGCCGTGTGTACCGTTAACTCTCGTTCTTCCGTGCTATTTAATCGCGGCTGCGCGATGTTTAACACGGTAATAACGCTCCCGACGGCTCGAAGACGCACGACGGACTCGTCGCGTGGTCTCGGCGAGAAAATGGGAAAGTCGCGGATCGTTCGCATTTTAAACGGCCACCGATTCGCCGAATGATCGAAGCCACGCTTTTGATGACATCATAAATTGCCGTCTCTGTGTTCTGTGTCTGCTCACTTTTCCCGCTCGCTCGTGTCGTGCCGCCGACTCGGGCCTCGTTCGAACCCGCGTCGGCGGGGACTCGCTCGGGAGCTTCTCCGTCGCGTCTCATTAACCCTTTGAGGCATAGTGGTAAGTATACTTACCACCTATTTATTCTCACATTTTCATGAAATATTTCATATTTGAGGGATTCTTGTTGAGGGTTTTTTGCGCTTTTTAGCTTCTTATATGATATGGGAACATGAAAAGTTGAAAAGTATTTTGCATAAGTTGTCCATTTATTATAAATAAACAAAATGTGAAAGATACACATTTTTACGGAAAAAAATTTTCCACAAACTATGAGTGAATTTTTTGCTCAAAATCAAGATTTGGGGGTTTTTTGGGTCGCTGATTACGAATCTGAGGTCCAAATTCCAAAATTAATTTTCCAAGATGGCGGATCATAGAATTTTTATTAAATTTATTAAATTTTATTAAATTGGTTAAAATTTTACTCTGGTTAGTTTTTGAGATCGCTGATTACGAATCTCAGGTCCACATTCTAAAATTCATTTTCCAAGATGGCGGATCATAGAATGTACATAAAATTAGCTAAAATTGTATGGTTAGTTTTTGAGCTCGCTGATCACGAATCTGAGGTCCAAATTCTAAAATTTATTTTCCAAGACGGCGGATCATGAAATTTTTATATGATTAGTTGAAATTGTACTTTGGTTAGCTTTCAAGGTCGCTGATTACGAATCACCGATGTCACCGAAATTATCGCGATTTTTCATATTTGCGTCCGCCATCTTGGGTCCGCCATCTTGAATTTTCGAAAATCTGATATCGGATTCGTCATCAGCGACCCCAGAAACCGCCCGTATATAAATTTTCATGTGATTCGGATTTTCTGAAAAATACGTGCCTCAAAGGGTTAAGGCAAATGTAAATCAAACGCGTCCAAGGAATTGGCTGTACACACCGAGACAAGACAAAAACATACTATATCTATCATTACAGAAATGATTGTGATTTTCATGGCAAGCGATCTATCAACGATAATAAGCTTCATAAGCATATTTTGCTACTGCTCTTTTGTTGAAACGATAAAAAATATAGTTCTCGCCGAAAATTACTATAATTATGAGATTGGTCACTCCTCGGTGTACAGCCAATGAAAGGCCAACGGGACGAGGTAAAAGACACGTGACGTGACTGCCGACTGACCGCATTTACCGTAACTTTAATCGTTCACTCGTCGACTAAACTCTCCGGCGCAATCGATGGGGGATTAACATAGAAAATTAGCATAGCGGAGGTCAACGTGTCGAAAAGCGAGTCCTCGACGCGAGAGCCATCGCTTCACACGTCTCGGCTCATTCACTGTTAAACGTCAACGGTAAGTTCATGCGATCATGCTACCATAGTAGATAATACAACGTATATCCTTCTGTTTCTCTCTCGTAGATCATTTCAGGTGGTTAAGCCGGCTCGCAAGAGCGATACACACGAGATCATCGTGACGGCGAGCGGTGGTCTCGCAACCGATTGAGTTTTGTGCTTAATTGCCTGCGAGATCAAGCTACTACCCCCCACCCCCACCCTCCCCCTCCCCCCGCCGCCGCCGCCGCCACCCGACCCTTTCCCTCTGTCCTGCGCGGAGGTCAGCTCTTAATTAACGCGATGAGTGTCGTTGTGTGCCGTTCCCTAATTCGAAACCTGAACGTGAAATCCACCCTAGGCCCTTAGTATTAAGTAGTAGTAGTAGTGTGTGCCGAACGTGTGCCGAGAGGCAGCATGTGTGATGTGGGTGTCAGTCGGATTTTGTGGAATCTGTGTTCCATCCGTCAGGCGTGCAGGAACGAGCTTGCGACAAAGCCGATTTGCCGGCGAATTATGGGAATTCGCTCGCGTGGACAGGATTGGTTTTACATTCAAAAGTGGCAAATTGATCTCCACTCGCGATTTCCCATCGTAGAGAGCTCGCCTCGGTTTGCGTTTTCATACTTTCGGCGAGTGGGGAAATCGAGCTTCACTTTGACAAATTAATTTCGATCTGCACCTCCTCGCGTTAAATCGAAATGTGTTAACGTCAAATTGCAGATGTCAATTTGCAATTTGACGTTAAAGCCTCCTAGCTTAGAAGGTCAATTGAAATCAATTTGCCACTTCGTACTCATGTAAAATCGACCAACCCGTCCGAGGCGAGGTCTCCCCAATTTTCCAGAAGGGGAAGCTCGATGCCCAGCGAGATAACACCTCGCTGGATTCCTGCGCGCTTATTAGACTTGCATGCCGGAGATGTGCGTGTTACGTCGACGTAGAAATCGGATGTAGCTCGTACACTTCTCGATTTCTCCGATCACCGGAGATCCATACATATCCGTCTGCGACTCTCGCGCGAACGGAGAACCTGCCGCATAACGCGCGTCGCGCGAGTCATGTCGTTACGAATCGTGTGTCGTTTTGGCGCGAAGAAAAGCCGCACTTCGACGGATCCGTTCGACTTGCGGTCGACGATTGTACACTGAGAAAAAATTGCATTAAAATTAAACAAATATTTGTTCGAATACGACTGTGAATACATTTACTTAAATTAAGCAATTGTTTTCTAAAATTCAAGAAAAAAGTGTACATTCAGAGAGAGAACCTCTGTATTTCATTTTAGAAATTAGTCGCTTAATTTGTTAACGAATAAATGTATTCACAGTCGCATTCGAACAAATATTTGTTTAATTTTAATACAATTTTTTCTCAGTATATAATCGCGCGCGCTTTCGTTCCAAACGCCGCGCGCCGATCGTTAGTTTCGATCGTTAGATCTCCGCTTAGAATAACGACGCGCTTGTCTCGGGCAGACGGAGAGGCCCCGATGTGAGAGAAAAAATCGTTAGTTAGCGCGATCAGAGCTGCCATTGTGTCGACACTCCGACGTCGATTATGCGCGAGCATAGTTCGCCGGCTCCTTTTGTCGCTCTCTACGTACCGTGTGCAACGGAGACGGAGAGTGAGAGTTGAGAAACAACGGAATAAAGTGAGAGAGACCGCGGACTATGCCGTTCGAGTCAATCGTCGTCGGAATAATCGATCCTCGATTGTTCGGTCGCCGATCGGAGAGATTAGCGCGTGAACAAACACTGGAGGATCCAAGGAAAGGCACAGAACTGTCCTTCACCGTTCCTGATGGGCTTTTTGCTCATGGTGTAAAACAGCACAAGACGTCATACCCACATTGCTCGCGCGCTTATACCTCGATGTTTAAGGATCGACGACGCGGCTTCTTGAAGATAAAAGAAAATTTTACCCACTTTACTTATTTTCAGCAAATAAAAGCATTGACAAAAAATGGAAGTTCCTTTTATTTTCGAGGGGTTGTTTCGATCTCTAGACGTCGAGATAAGCACATACAGAACAAATAAACGGGTTTACGTTTCTTGCTGCTTTAAGACACATCCAGAAGCTTATCAAGATCACGATGAGACACACAGTTCGGTCCCTTCTCCAGTTTGTCCTCTCTGGACGCTCGTTAGAGAGAACCGAACTTCGAAGAATCAATCATCAGGCTTTCTCGCGCCTTCGACTCGACTAACGGCCGACGAAAATGTGCTTTTCGCAGATGGTAATCCGGTAACCGGAGCCGGCTACGCGTCCGAGCCACTGAAGAACGGCCCGACCATGCAGAACGGCACCGTCAGCTCGAATTCCAGCAGCGGCGAGAAGTCGATCGACTCGTCGCCGACGGCGAAGCCGGCGGCGCGCACTCGCGTCCCACCCGGCGGCTACTCATCCGGACTCTGGTAAAGGGCGACGTACGACGTCGCCGTCGGTGGCTGTCCCGTCGGCCGCTCACCGGGACAGCCCGCGATCGATCCTGTTCGATCTTGTACTCTTAACCCGCTAAGGCCCGCGATCGCCTTTTCGTATTGTCGTTCTAACAAAGATAAAAAGAGATAGGAAGAAAGAGGGAGAGAGCTCCGCGAAATGAGAGAAGATCGATCGATTTCCGGTCACCGTATACACTCCACATCCGCGCGGGCCAAGTTTCCTGCCGAGATTGCTCCTTTAAAAGATAACGGGGAATACCCCCCCCCCCCCGTCAAAGAGAATTGCTGACGGCAGATGGATGAGACAATGAGAAAGCGGCTGCCGCTGCTTTTGGACGCGGGCTTTATTGGGTTAATCAACGAGTGGTCTAACACCATTTTTTTTTCTCTTTTTTCTTTTCTCTTTTGCTTTGTACCAATTGAGAGAAAGAAGCACACGTAGAAAAAGAGCGGGAGAGAGAGAGAGAGAGAGAGAGAGAGAGAGAGAGAGAGAGAGAGAGAGAGGAGTCAGTGTGACTTTTTGAATGTGACTTTGACAATTTGCGACTTCTTCATACACGAATGACTATAGATAACTCTTTCTTAACCTCGAGTAATCGACATTTGGAGCAAAATTCATTTTCAGAGGTGATAAATAAATATACACATACACACATGACATGTACACACACGGTGACGGATAAGCCATCATCATTATCATCATCATCATCATCATCATCATTATCATCATTGTCATCATCATCGTCATTTTCCGTTTCTTTTTAATAAGAATATTTGATACTGTCATATTTAGCGATTTTTTCGTCGTCAAGAAGGCTGTAAAGCTTTCGACGAAGACGAAAGATAGTGATAACAATAGAGAAGCCCGTCGACTCCTCATCGCTGATGGCCGCAACGCGGAAGCGAGCGGAAGCCGTGTTCTATCTTGAGCCTCGACCAGCGACGGAGAGAAAGAAAGAAGATCGCGCGCGTTCGGGTTTTCTGGATCCTTGAAATTTGCATCGCGCGCGAATCTGCCGCTTCTCAAGGGGAATCAATTTGTGAGTGGGCGAGATGCTAACGAGAACGACAAGACAACGGGGGAGGGGGATTTTCCTGCGTCGATCGGTCCGAAAGAAGGAATACTTTTGAACGGCGCTCCTTCCCCGATTATTCGTCCAGGCCGCCATGTAAAAATCGCACGCGAGCGCGCAGGTGTAAACCGATCCCGACTCCGCCGAGCGTGAATTACCGGTCCTTCAATTAGCAACTCCAGTGCCGGGCATTATCGCGTACGAACGAATAACTGTATATAGAGGTAGTTAAAACGATCAACGCGCGTAAAGCGCGCCTCACCTCTCCTCTCCGAGGCTGCGAACGAACGAACACCGCGCGCGAATCGTAAATCACCTCGCTGGGAAAGGTGATTTTCCATCAGCGAGATTGCTCGGATTTAATGAGTTTCACGGGATAAGTCGAGCTCGCGCTGCGGTGAGAGCAAAAGCGTTTGCCTCGCTTCTTCCGAGATTCGTCGTCTAAATTCGACTCGAATAAAAAGTCACGGTTCTTGATTACTCTACTTCGTCGCGCTGATCGCGACGTGTTTCATTGATGTTGACAACGAAGTTACGTAATTTGTGCTTCGGAAAATTTTTACACGGGTGCCGTTAGTCGAAATCAAGCATAATGTTCAGTGTTTCAGCTTTAGACACGAGAAGAAATGTTAAAGAAATGTTACATACGTATTCCCCGGAATGTCCGGATATAATAAGTAAAGTTCGAGCAAGAGTGATGAGAAGGGAAGAAAGTAGCCGCGGAAACGTCCGCTCCGTTTCATTCGTACGAACTACCCGGTTGCCCGGAAAGCGGAGCTTCCCCGTCGCTGTCGAGCTGCACGACTGACGTCTTGCGCTCGTTTCCAAGTTGTGCGCGTCCACCATATACACACATACACGCACATACATACACATCCATACACAGACACAGACCCCCCTTCGTGGTCTGACAAAATCGTTTCGTCCAAGAGACATTATATACGCGGCGAAATTCGCTCTCTCCGTGGTGAAGGACAATGATACGTATGAATAATATTCACACACGCGTACAGAAGAGAGGAGGAGAAGGAACAAGCAGCATACCGAAATCGTGTAGAATCGTAGGGATCGCGATCGTACCACTTTATCGTAGTGCAGCGTTTGATTAGGAGAGCAGAATCGTTTTATACCGATCGATCCTGCCAACATGTCAAGGAAAGATTGAGAGGGAGAGAGAAAGAGAGAGGGGGGAGGAGAAGAATATCGAGAAAGCGAGACAGGTATGTGTATACCTAACGTAAGAATAACCGACGGGATAATTAAAGCTTTTGAACGGAGAGAATACACCGTCGACCCGCATACCAAGCACGAGACACTATTTTGCTTGAGAGGAGGAATAAGAAAAGAAAAAAGTTAATTCCCCGGTCGTGTGAACGACGTGAGAGAAAAATGGACTGATGAAAGAGAGAGAGAGAGAGAGAGAGAGAGAGAGAGAGAGAGAGAGAGAGAGAGAGAGAGAGAGAGAGAGAGAGAGAGAGAGAGAGAGAGAGAGCAGCGTGCGCGTTCGCGCGCACTCGACGATGACATCGCGATCTTCGTGGAGACTTCGGAATTGTATATTAGAAGTAGGCATGTGTTATTCGAAAAAATAAAAGTATACCATGTATAACCCATACAAACCAAGTCAAGTGCTTTCTTAATCTCCGTGCCTTCTTAATATCGCATAATTTATTGTCGCACGAACGAACAAACGAACGGACAAACTTGCGTACGACGCGCGGCTGAGACGGATCGGAGAGACATCGAAAGAAAGAAAGAAAGAAAGAAAGAGAAAACCTTCGCGAAAAATCGTCATCCTCGCGACGTGTCGACATTGGGGGATAACTCGACACAGGTCGGTGTTGCCCTTAAAATTAATATACATTTCACGTCACTCGAAAAAAAAGGTGGATTCGTCGCGCCGCCTTAGATGTGTATCGTCAGCGATTTCTCAGAGATTGAAAGCGGGATATCGTTTGTCGTGCGTACCCGATTATTCACGTGAAGCTATTATTATTTATCTATTTATCGGTATTGTATACTCTTATCTCTTATTTCTAATGGTCGACGAGAGCTGCGCACGGCGAATTGAGAGATGGAAAGAATAAAAGCTAGAGACGAAGAGGGAGAAGGAGATATATAGGGGGGAAAACAGGAATATACACCCTGTCCCTTTGAGCACGTCGTGCTGCAGCTTTCTAATCGTCGTCCCGCTTCTCTTTCTCTTACGAATAGCGCGTAATAATCGAATATGTATTTATTTCACAGCAACACGAGAGCCGTATTGCACATGTATCGTTTTTATCCCTTTTCCCTTTCTCTACGCAGAGAGAACCTTACGCAGTCGTTTTGGTGTGAGTAAAATTAAGTTGTTTGTAACACACATACAAACATAACACACATACATACATACATACGTACACAAACGCTCACTCACACAAGTACACGCATCGTATTCGTCATAAATAAATAGCCTTTTTGTACTCTGGCAATGATTAATAAAATTTTGTAAACAAAAAACCACCCCGTGTATCGTAGTCTCGCTCCTTTTCAAGGCTGGTCGTCAAAGAACGGAAGGACATTTCGTGATTTTCGACAGGATTACATGGTGGTGATGGGCGTGTCAGAGATAATCATGAGATTGAGAACACGACGTTCTTGTCGCACATTGATGTTTTATTATGAAAATAGTTAACATATCAATGCAATTTGTTGACGGTAAAATAAGGACATACACAGTCGATAAGTTTACAGAAACTTTAGAACACGCGACCTTATTTCTGCTCTTTTACGAAATGAAACGACTGAACGCCGGACTGTTAAATAAATAGAACAAGACATGTTTCTTAAATATTCGAGAAATTCTAAACGCACACAATTACAGATTGGAATTTACACATTTGATTGTATACAGCGAATGAATAAATACCAACATATAGTGCACAATAAAACGTACAAGAAAATCAATCGATTTTATAGAGAGAGACAAAAAATGGACTCCTATAGCGTACAAAATTTCCAAAACAAATGCTTATCGAATGAATATTAACGATACAATTGCTCGTTTGCGGCGAGCAAACGCAGAAATTCATGAGGAGAACTCGTATCTCGCGAAACAGAAATTCAAATACGTGTAAGCATGTATTTATGTGTCGCGTATATGCGAGAAATGTTCGTTTCTGTATTTTATGTTTGCAAATAAATAACTTATCTCCTGATAATACTTCGTACGTGGCTTATAGATTCAGCGATGGAGCGATCATCTTGCAACTGATAGTTCCGTCTCAAACGCGAGTGCACGAGAATTTATTCAACATTATGAGGAGATCTCTCATCTCGGCGGCGGCATTGGCTCTACAGAGAGCGCTGAAGATGTGCTTCTGATTAGTTTCCTGCTCCATCCTGCTAGCTATTTCGTGCGCTCTCTTTGTAATTACAGACGGCACGCCTGCCAATCGAGCGGCATTGAATCCGTACGACTTCGGGCAGGCGCCTTCGCTGAGCTTGTACAAGAACGTCACGGTTTCCTGCGACACTTCCTCTTCCTCCTCGGTTTCCACCATGCATGCCTACGGATAACGCGATAAAGTATTATCACAAGCTGTCGGATTTTCACGAGTGCATGCAGATTGATCTGAACGGAAAACCTCATCTCATCGAGAGAGTACGAGTAATGCGCGCAAAACTCTCACCATATGGGCTAACGTGACCTCCTTGTTAGTCTTGTAATCCTCGACCAAGGAATGATAATGCGTCGAGAATAGCGTGCGACATTTCAGCTTGGTCAACGCGTCCACCACCGAGGCCGCGATCGCAGTACCGTCATAGGTCGATGTGCCGCGTCCTGCGATAAAAGCAATAATATAACACAAATGCCTTGCGCTGAGTTTACATCAGCAGCGAGAATGTATCGAACAACATTCAAGGATCACCGAGCGTGATAATCCTTACCTAACTCATCCAAAAGAACCAGTGAATACGGCGTGACGTGCTGCAGTATTGTGGCGGTTTCGCTCAGTTCCACCAAGAACGTGCTTTGACCGGCCAGGATGTCGTCATTCGCGCCCAGCCTCGTAAAGATACGATCCACCAGCGTCACGCGGCACAAGCTGGCCGGAACGTAGCTGCCCTGATTGCCGAATATATGACGGTGAATGAAAACGAAGTGAATTTCGCGAAAATATAAACTATCTTTCATTGATAATAACAAATTTTTGTTTAGAAAACCCTTTAGGGACAGATAATGTCCCGTAGATGGAAAGAAATATGTAGAGTAAATAAAAAGAAGGGTAATATAAAGTAAAAAAAATGAATAAAATATGTAGTAAAGTAATAAATAAAATAAGTAAATAAAATAGATAACATAAAGAAGATATGATACACGCATAATATAAGATAGTAAAGGAGCTCACCAGCTGTGCCATGATCGTGATGAGACCCACTTGACGCATAAGAGTCGACTTGCCCCCCATGTTCGGTCCAGTGAGGATCATGAAAGAGGCAGCATCGTCGGTCGCCAATAAGGTATCGTTTGGTATGAAATTGTCGGAGGTGATGCAGGGATGCTTTCCGTCTCTGATCTCGACGAAGATCTGCAGGAACAGGTATTCCTCTCACTTTTCATTGTTACTTGGATGCGCGAAGGCGCGAGACATTAATCGATGGCAAACATCTGCGCCATCGTGCGCGGCGATACCGTTACCTCGCCGTCCGATCCGTCGTGTATCTCTGGCACGCACATATCGCCGTTTCGAGCGTAATCCGCGAGCGAGATGAGCACGTCCATGGTGGCCAATTTGTACACGGCCATATGCCACGTGTCGTAGTTCTCGCTGAACTGCGCGAATATCCTCCTGTTGAGATCCTTCAGCACTTTATCCCGATGCTCTTCCGCGTTCATTTGCCGTGCCAAGAGCTCCTACGATGGGAGACGAAGAAAGGGAGGACATGACAGATTTTTTCATGATTACTCAAGATACTTTGATATTTGAGGCTTCCGCGGTATAGAAGGAAATTAATGCTCGACGTGTGGATCGCTCGAGTCGCTGCCGGCTCTTCGTGGGTTCGTTTCCGACATTGCGTGGACACTTCAGTTCATTCCCTCAGAGAAAAAATGACCTGGAACTGTCACGAATCACTCCTTGCTATAAGGAGGTGAATTGAAATCTTCGGAAACGAACTTCTCACTTCAAGTCGAGCATTAAATGAAATATGTCATCGTCAGACACCGCGAGTTATTTGCTAGTAATCGGATGTATTGTTCATACTCACCCTCGCTTCGGCAGTGTAGTAGCGTTTGAAGCCTTTTCGTTGCGACTGCAGCTCATAACCGGGTCCGACCTTTTTCACTTGTGTCTCGGGCACCTCGATCTGATAGCGTTTCCGGTCCGTCCCGTGGAACGTCACCTTCACACCGAAATGTTGCTTCTGTTTCTGCAGATACTGATCCAGATCCGCCCGGTTTTGCGCGAGCTCAGTTAATACCGAGTCATACTCGGCGTCTACTCCTTTCTTGGGAACGATACAACCTTGCTTCTTGGCCTCCTCGTGATCAAACGCCGTCTACAATCAAACCACGTTTGTCGTGAGATATGTTAAAAAGAGGACACACGCGAATGAAAAAAAAAAAGTATCGACAAGTGTTACCTTGAAGTAATCCAAGGTCTCCCTCAGACGTGGAAATTCACCGTCCGGCTCGTATTGAGTGCAGCGAGTAATCAAATTACTCTTGAAGTCTGAAAAGAGCGTAATCTTATTTTGTATACTTCACGAAACAATCCAATATAAAAATAAGATAGACGTACCATCGAACAGTTCGATGAATTTCAAAACGTCTTCGAACTTGGCGAGGGTCGTAGTAAAATCTATAATTACTCTCTTCGAGTACGTCGAGCCCTCAAACATGATAGCTCTGCCATCGGGATGATTCTTCATTCTGGGATTGCCCTGGGCGTGTATTCTGTCGCAAAATAGAAAGCACGTTGGTATTTTATTCGAACTTTCAAGAGTAAAGCTCTTTCGCGGTCTCTCTATTACAACCTACTTGCTCAATAATCTCTCAAGGTCCGGCAAAGTCGCCAAGATAGCGCGTGCCGATTGCGTCACATCTATTCGATCCACCAATTCTTCAACGGCTTGTTGGCGTTCCAAAATGATGGCTTTACGGCAAGATGGTCTGCAGATCCATTCGCGCAGCAATCTAGAAGAGAAATGCAGGTCTCTCGTTGATGGATCGGATAACAATGAGAGATCAATCAGAAAACACACACAGAATGCTTAAAATTTACCTCTTGCCGAACGCGGTGCAGCAACGGTCCAACACGCTATTGAGTGAACCTTCCCCGAAGATCCTTAAATTCTTGATCGTAACGGCATCGATCACCATGGTGTTCGCGTAGTTGAGGCCGACGCGGTTGCTCGCGGCTGAGAAGTCCGGCGGGCAGTAAGTATTGAAGCAACCTTGCGCCAACAATCGCTGTTCCAGCAGATATTCCTTCAGCAAGTACACGCACCCTCCCAACGCATGTACCGCCAATTCCTTGTTGTCGGCTGGTGTCAGACCCAAACTGTCTCCTGACACGCGATAAGAATAGTTTGTTACATGTGCTGAAGAAATTCACAGAGACAAATACAGGAAAGAGTTTAATGAGATACCTTCGTTAAGATACGGCTTTAAGCCTTCGGGCCATGCAAAACTGGAGTCATTCTCCTTCTTAAAATAGTCCTCCTCGTGAAGTTTCTTTCAGCAAAAAGATAATTATAAGCATTTGTGAAACCCGAAAGAGTAAAATCAGATATTATCTTACTACAACTCTATGTAATTATCTGCTGTCTACACTCACTTTCAACGCGGTTGTGGCAGACCAAAATTGTGCTTCACGCTGCAATGGCTCTTTCAATGCTGCTGGTAAGGTACTATTTATGATCTGCAGGGTTTTGGGAGATAGATTGCCACGTTCGTGTATTATCTGAAACGTGAGAATAGCAAAAGAGTTAATAAACAAGATAGTAATTTAGCTATTATAATATGCTAACTCGTACATGAACCGGCGGATGGTGAGCCAGCATAGTCAACAGTCTGGAATTGCAACGGTCGTCGTCGAACTGGCCGAGGTGGAACTCGCCTATTGTAGTGTCGATGAAGCACACACCGAAGGAGCTCGTCGAATCGAAATTACATTTCTCAACCAAAGCCAATAGATAGTTGGAATTCGGTGTGGACGCTTCCACATCCAACGGAGTGTACACTCTGGTGCCTCTAGTGCTAACCTGGCAAATCTCTCGCTTCACAACCTTGTCGAACTTGGTCGGCTTGCCACTCACTGTGACCGACAAATGAGAATACATTGTTTATGCATATAAATAATAATTTATGTGCGAGACAGAATGAAAATACGTTTCGTACTTTTGTTGCAACGGGCTGTCATCATCTCCGGGTTCTCCGTTTGCTCGACTCGAGCGACTTTATATCCTCTCTCTATAAGACTTGCCGAATAACGACCATATCCGATCTCGGGGAATCCGGAGTGCGCGAATTCACCCTTTAATGATAATTTAAAATAATTATTTGAGACAACTACCATATTATGAATGTACATGTATACGTAATATTTACCTTACAAGAAACAAAAAGAGAAAAGGAAAATCGCTGTCTACTGATTTAGCTTTTAAGTTTTAAAACTTTTAAACATATTAAAATCTCTAAGAATTTATTGAGCTGAATCGTAAATTGCGTTCTTCGATCGTTAAATGTCGATTAATCGCAAAATATGCGTGTTATAAAGAGATTTTACAGGATTCTAAGCTTCTACAGTTGAAATTCCAATAGACATCAATTTTGTTACTTTCCAGATATAAATTTGGACTTACTCGCATGTATGTTAGACTCAGTTCATTAACACCAATAACTGCATCCATGTGATAGAGCTCATAAAATTTGCCAACTTTGAAGAAGAGCACACAGTCAAAATGTTTGCTTTTCAATTCCCACCATTGTCTCATTGCCTAAACAATAGCAGCATAATTAGTTGCTAATGTAAATATATAATTAAAACAGTGCTTAACAGTAGTGTCTTCTTACAGGAGTTTGATTAAGTAGAAAGTCATGGGGCACATAGACAGTTTTAGAATCGTAATCGCAATCTATGGGTGTTCTCCTTTTTATATCTTTTATTTTCTCTGGCTGTAGAAAATCTAATTTCAAATGTGGCCAAGTTGGGGTAGCAGTAGATCCATTGCTGACAGCTTGACTCTGGGTTTGTATAGCCTGTTTAGGTTCTTTCTTGCTCTGAAAAAGGGATTAATTATATAGAGATAAAGAAATACAGATAAAGAAATATGAAAATGAGTAACTATAAGCTTACTGTTTTTGTACTATATTTTGAACCTCTAGGTCGGCCCGGTTTGGATTTGGCACTAGATATTTTCTCCCTTTTCTGAAATACGATATTTATAATATTTATATAATTTTCTTTGTAAAACAGAGAACGTTTAATACATATTTAAGATAACTCTAGTAATTCAAATATTTGTATATTTGTGTTTATTCAGTCTTAAAACATATTTGAAAATGTTTCATCTTTACCTCTGGAGTCTCCTGCTCTGTTTCTGTTTCAGGTTCATGCTCTGTATCTCCTTCAGAAACTGATTCAGACTCATCAGATTCAGAACCTAAAGTTTATAATATCATATGATATCTTTATTGATCATTTATTTAATACAAAGAAATTGTAATAACCCACAACTTTATCATCATCTATATGATTTACAAACCTGGCTTAAAATCATCTTCAGAATCACCATCAGAATCAACATCAGGAATAATAAGACGCCTCTTTTTAGGTTTTATGGATATATCCTCTTCATCGTCTTGATCTTCTTTAAGCGATCTTTTCCTATCATCGTGATCCTGATTTTCCTTTCCTCTACCATTCTTGATACGTTCTGCACAAATCATTTACATGTAATAATTACGAGAACAAAAATATTAATTTAGATTATACATTACAGGATATATAATTACAATTCTCAAAAATTATACTATCTCCATATTTTTCACATGTCAAGAGTGAACTGTTTAAGATGAATTGTTTGAAAACAACACTGTGATTAGTGTCATGTGCAATTGGACAAAATTACATAAATTGTCATTTTATGAACGAATTATTGCTAAATAAAAACATTACGTACGAGGCAATGATTAATTCTATCTCGGTACGTATTGTTCCGTGCAAATAATTAGGCGTGCTACCGCTCAAAATCCACCCGAAAACAAACCTTTGTTCTTTTGTTCTCTCTTGGGAGTCTGCGACTTTCCTCTTTCTTCTTTTTTCGGCTCCGGTTTTTTGATAGCTTTCGGCGACGAGAAATAATTAAGTATCGTGTTCACTTTTGGCATATTTCACTTCAATATGAACCTCGAACAATATGAACAATGATTTTCAGGAAATATCCGCCAAAATTACGGACAGTATACGAGCATGTTACACAACGACGAAGTGCTGAAGCGGATCAAATGCCCGGCAAATTGTGCTCTCTTCTCACAATCTTCCGGAATGCATCCCGATTCGTTCGTTTTAAGACCGTATCACACTGGCGACTCGCGACTGCTGCTGCGGCTACGATTACGATTGCGATTCTTCCTCGACCAATCAGAAAGCAGCGACTCGCGGTTGCGACCAGAGAGAAGCCTGAGGGTGCGTTCCGTTTCACGCATATGCGCGCATTTTTTATAGTATACATGACATAAACTATAGATAAATGCACGCTATGCGTGAAACGGAACGCACCCTGAGAGCGGCCATGGCTACATTTACAGCGTTATCGAAAAGTTGGCTCGTGTACATACCTCAAGGGAGAGTACGGACTTCGTATGTCAGCGTTTTGATTGGTTCCGCCATGTTTGGGTCCGCTTCCGGTAAAGTTCCGTGCACATTGCCAAGTAACAGGCGGAGAAGCAAGAAATATGAGCTAAAGGATCAGCTGATTACGATTAAAGTTATATGTTGTCTATAACCGGCCAATGGCATTTATGCTCGCTGCTATAGAAAAAGAAAAAGAAGTGTACATAGTGGAAGTGTGTTAAAAGAAAAGTGAGTTTTTGTGTTTTATATATTGTGATTAATATTTTTATAAAATAGATAATATAAAAATATATGTAGCAATCAATATATTGTGTAAATATACGTGTAGGTGTAAGTTATATAATCTGTTCTTTATTATAGCATAAAAATGCCTAAATGTATTGCAAAAAATTGTAAGAGTGCATCGACCAAGAAAATAAAAATGTGTTCTTTTCCACAAGAAAGGGAAATGCAAATGTTGTGGATAAGAAATATAGGTCGAAGTAACTGGCAGCCGAAAAAGGATTCACGTTTGTGTGAGGTATGTTATGTTGTCCGTTAATATATATACACAATGGGTGCATTCAGTACTACAACCGTTCATTGAACGCTCAATGAGCTTTTACATTTGATTGGTATATTCCTTTAGATTTTAAAATATACACCAATCAGATGCAAGAGCTTACTTAGCGCTCAGTGAGCGGTTGAAGTACTGAATGTACCCAATATAATTATGTTGTCTGTTTTAATATATACACAATTTCTTTGTTTCTATATTCAATACCTATTTACTTTATGTTGTTCTTTGCATAGTTTCATTTTGCTGATGATCAGTGGGAAACAATGAGAGTCGATGGCAGAAAAAAGTTAAAATGGAAAGCTATACCAACACTATTTGGGGAAGATACTCAAATTCGAATAGATATAATAAAAAAAAAATGTCAGCAAGGTATACAATTAAAGATTTATCTACAATGACTTAAGAATATGGCTGTAAAGCTGTAAGATGTGAAATAAATTCTTTTTATTTGCTGACAGCCTATGTTACAATCTTACAGCCATATTTTTACAGTTATCATGGATGAGCCTTAAAAGCCATAATACAGTTAAATGTAAAATGTGTAACGTTAATATAAAAGTAGTGGAATACTTTCCATTATTTGTATGTAATATATATAACATTATTTATATATAAGCAGTATGTTTATTTATAACAGATGAACAATAATATGCTGTTTGATTTTTAAGAACTGTCTATCAAGGAAAAGAATTTATCAACAAGTGTAAATCAAGGGAATACAAATACAAACGAAATGTTGGAATCACCAATAGATACAACAAAGATATCGGAGCAAAATAATAGTATGGAACAAGAAGATGAAAATATACAAACTGAAATTGAGACTGAAATTGAATCTACTCAACCGTTGACGTTAAGTAATTCCAAAACAATTCCAGAATTTGAAAAAAAATTAGAAAAATTAGAAAAACATTTATTTCAAAGTAAAAAAAGCAAAAAAGAAATGATGAAACAACTGTGGGACATGAAAATTAAATTGAAGAGACTACAGCAGGAAGTAAGAACAATGATAGATATAAAAATGTTAAATAAGCTATTTAATGAAGATCATATTTAATGAAGATTTAATGAAGATTATTTAATGAAGATCAAATTAAAGTTTTAACTAATGCTTATAAAAAAATGCCACGTTGGTGTAACAACACATTAATCAAGGCTTATCGCTTAAAATTTGCTTGCGGATCGCATAGGTATGAACAATTACTCCGAAATAATTTCCCATTGCCTTCTCTTCGAACTCTAACTCGTCATTTAGAACATTTTAAGTTTTTACCTGGTGTCTCTGAAAATATATTTATAGTATATGTTCATATGGCATGTTTATATTATATATTATATAACATTATTTGTATTTATATCGTTATCATTAAATATTATTTAACTTTCATTAACAAATATTTATTTTAGGTATTATCAATGAATCCGCTTGATTATTATAGAGTCAATACCCCATGAAAACAGGAACGTTGTGTCCATGTGAAATCCATGTGATTTTGTAGACTCTACGTGAATAATACTATAGATATGAAGGGGAGAGACTATAAAACACTTTCTTTATTACAGGAAATAAAATGGAGTAACTTACAGGAAAATATTTCTGACAGCTACAAATATTGTCGGAGAAGGTTTAAGATACGGTACGACAGCAAAAGAAGAAAAAAAAATTTTTTTATTATACTTTATGACGTTTTCTTGACGTTTCCAATGTCAACACGATGTCATTAAGTTATTACTTTACTATTTGTGAAATTATATTATGATCATGTATGAATAATATTTTTTTATATATAAAATAACTCTATTATATTTCTACTTCAATTTTACAAGTCCTCTATCTTACAATTATAATAACATTAATGTCATTTATAAGTCATCAAAATTAAATATAAATATTAATTAAATTAAATATAAATATCTTGCTTGATATCTCTTTTAGTAGAATTTCAATATTCCGCGCATATAACTAAATTTTCGGTTTCAAGGACCCAAACATGGCCGCCACAGGATCGGTGTCCGTACTTTCCCTTGAGGTACACTAAAGTTGGCTAATTCGAAGCGGCAACTGGGTCCATTTTTCATGGACATGAACTACTAAGCCAATGTCCACGATTTATTGGTACTATTCCGTGCTATGTCCATAATTATTTGGTTCTGTTTTGTGCTACGTTCACGAGCGAGCTAGATTAGTCAGATAAAAACGGAGGATCGGTTTTTGTCTCACCACCAGCGAATAGACAATCGCGACGATAAACTGAAGCGAGCCAGCAGCGATGTTACCGTAAGGCAAACGTAGCCGTCTCCTCTTTCACCCCCTTGTTTTCCTTTCCACGTTGTTTTATATTCATAATTCGGGAAGAAAATAATTTCGAGAGTTCGGACGATTTCTAGCAATGACGCGACAGAGATAACGCGCGGCCACATTAATTTGTCATGACTTTTACATTACTTATAATTACATAAACGCCCATATATGCAAATTATAGATAATTATTGCGCGTATGTTTAAATATTGTACAATATGGTATATAATAACAACTTCATTTCTTGCAGTAATTTTTTTAAGATCTTCGTTGAGGTCGTGAATTAATTTTTTTCTTCATCAATCAATTTTCTGCAAAAATTAAGATTTTTTAAATAAAATATAAAATATTTCTCTTCTCTTCTCTCCGAAGAGTTAATTAAAAAATGTGTACTCCACAGAGTCAACTAAAAAATGTGTAGTTAGAAGAGTCAATTTAAAAGTGTACTCCGAAAAGTCAATTTAATAGCGTATTCCGAAGAGTCAATTTGAAAGCGTACTCTGAAAAATCAAATTAATATTGTAATCCGAAAAGTCAATTTATAATAGAATATTTACTTCGATGATTCAGCTAAAGAAAAAAATATTTATTATTATATTCAGAGAATAATATTTAATTTATTATTTATACTTATCTTACTTATGCTTACCCTATATATACTTCTTTGAATGAAAAATTTAATTTGTTGACTGATTCGGATTCAGATTTGTTAAAATATCTCTTGTGCGCAACTCTTGAACAGGTAGGTAGTAAAATAATTTTCTTTCTTTACGAATTTTATAAACTTTTCACGAACATAAAAATTGAAAGATTCTCAGAGAACAAATAACTTTTCTTGAACATTTAAACCGAAGGAAAACTTTTTCCCATTAATAAAGAATGAATAATAAATATCTCACACAAGAGGAATCTTCATCCTTGAAATCACCGCGCGATTTTGCTTTTAGAAAAGTATAATATTGATGTAATAGTAACAGATGCTGTCCAAAAACGGTGCAAATCTTAAACGTTTTTGAGAAATACAGTTTGAAGTTTAGTCTTTTCTGTTAATGTCGTTATAGCAGAAGAATTACCAATTTGCTTCAGTAGCGCAGTGGATCAGGCTTTGTGATATGAGCGTAGAGGTTGTTCAAGTGTGTTATTTTTGCTATCACAGGGAGAACTATGTAGAATGTATAATAATACGCAGACAAATTCTTTACATAATCATACTTATTTTTTTTAGCATGAATAAAAATGATCAATGCTAACATGATAAGTGTATATCGCAATTGTATGTGTACACACACATACACACGTATACCAAGATGTCAAAACCGAACAATTCGTGAAAATTTTTTATTGATCGCAATTGTACGCAAAGACGAAAGAGAAGTACACGGGTCTCCGCGGGTATCTCGTTATATTAATTGTCTATGAGCTGATAAACAATTTATCTCCGGTATTTACAAGTTACGCTTGTCCGCAGCATGTTCGGTTTTGACATCATTGGTATCAGTGATGCGAATTTCGTGACGGGCTTACACGAGGATTCCCTCCCCCCCCTCATGCATGCACTCAGTCAGCTCGGTTTATCCGTGTGAGCCACGCGATCGGCAATCGTCGACGCGCCGAGCGAGCGAGCGAGAGAGAGAGAGAGAGAGAGAGAGAGAGAGAATATCATTCCCTCCTTGTCGCTCTCGTTCTCGCTCAGCGAGCAAATCTAATTCTTTCTTGCCCATAATCTGAATCGTGGGCGCGACTGTCTCTCTCTCCTTTCCTCTCTATGACAATACTGAAAAGTTTTGTCTACTCGGCGCACCGAACTTATTATAAATAATATTTTATTATTAATAATATTATTATTTGTAATATATATTATTTGTAATATTGTAATATATATTATTTGTAATTATTTGTAATATTATTATTTGTAATATTATTTGTAAATAGTATTAATAATATTCGGCGCCAAGAAAATGAAATATATTTTATTAATTATTTTGCGGAGTCGGGCAGGTCCATAGGTTTGATTATTGAATTGTTTAATAATATTTTAAGAATAATTTTAAGTTATACAAGGATGAGGAGTAGTATGAAATATAAAAGAATATTGTAACAGAATCAAGAAGTACGAAATGAAACCTCTTTGCTTTTATTACAATATCCTGTAAGTTAATAAATATTTTTCATACAGTATTAAATAATCTCCAAAAACAATTACATCCGTGAAATTTTCTATCTGCGCGAAAAAAAATTCATAAAATATATTTGTTTCGTCGCTCTAAATGAGAAAACTCTCAGAGCAATGTCATAGTTGTTCAGTGCACTACTCAATAAAAATATAATAATACTATGTTTGTATGTGTGAAGAATATTTGTTAACTTACAGGATATTGTAATAAACGCAAAGAGGTTTTATTTCGTACTTCTAAGGCCAAGACTTATTAACGGCTAAAGACAAATTCGAATTGATCTTGCCTTAATTGGTCGGATCAGTGATCGGTCTTGCCTTAACTTCCAAGCCTCATAACTCGGAAAGTACTCAATGAAATGTAACTTTGTTAGAGTGTTTTCGAAAGCTCTCGAGATAAGCTATAAGAATATGTAATAAAAAATAGTAGTTTCTATTTAAAAAAACATTAATGACCTTGGCCTGATTTTGACAAGGTCACTCAAGGTCAAGTCCACATTTCCGTCATATGTCGTCCTTCAAGCCATGCAACTTTCGTTCGAAAAATTTTTTCATAAAATAACAAATTTTTACAAGTAAAATTTATCATTATTTATTAGAACACTGAGTTATATGGTTATTTTACTTGTTATTGTAACAAATTAATTATTATAACAATGCAATAAAAAGTATTTAATACAAAAATCTTAGCGCGGCTGCACCAAAAACTATATCCAACTAAAACTTGTTTAATACATATATGCCAGCATTTTTATTATGATATACTCAGGTAACAGACTGACGTCAAATGACGTATTAATGACGTCTTTAACGTCATTAAGACGTCATTAGTACGTCATTTGACGTCAGTCTGCTACCAGGGTATTCTATAATGAAGGTTTATAATTTATTTATTATAATACTGTATAAACTTAAATAAAACATTATACCGTATATGTATAAAGAGAATTTACAAGAACATTTTATTATAATAAAAATGCTGTCATGTATGTATCAGGTGTAGTAAAAAGAAATCCATTATTTTTCCAATAGATGGCTTTAGTTATCTGTATCTCGCGTTGTATAAGTCCGATCGGGTTCCACTAGATGGCGTTAGAAAGATGAGATTTCGTACTAAAAAACTTTTTTGACAGTTTTGTGATTAGTTGACTCAGTTTTGTTTGAGCGCGCGTCAAAGATGGATACTAGCAAAGAGAAAATACGCTATATTTTACAGTTTTTCTTCGATAAAGGCGAAAACGCAAGCCAGGCGGCTGAAAATGTGAATAGTGTTTATGGTCCTGATACTGTAACAGCCAATCACGCGCAATTTTGGTTTCGTCGATTCCGTTCCGGTAATTTCGATGTCAAAGATGCACCACTCACTGGAAGGCCAATTGTCGAAAATATCGATAAAATCATGGACATTGTCGAGTCCAACCGTCATGTAAGCACTGTTTCGATTGCCCAAGAGCTAAAGATTGCACAAAAAACCGTCTGGAACCATTTGAATAAGGCTGGATACAAAAAGAAGCTCGATGTATGGGTGCCACACGAGTTAACAAAAAAAACCTCATGGATCGAATTTCCATCTGCGAATCGCTGCTGAATCGCAACAAAATCGACCCATTTCTGAAGCGGTTGGTCACTGGTGATGAAAAGTGGATCACTTACGATAACGTCAAGCGAAAACGGTCGTGGTCGAATCGCGGTGAGCCGGCGGAAACGGTGGCCAAGCCAGGATTGACGGCCAGGAAGGTTTTGCTGTGTGTTTGGTGGGATTGGCAGGGAATTATCTACTATGAGCTGCTCCCCTACGGCAAAACTCTTAACTCGGAACTGTACTGTCAACAATTGGACCGTCTGAAGGAAGCAATCGCCCAGAAGCGGCCAGCTTTGGCCAATAGGAGAGGAATTGTGTTCCATCGGCGGACAACGCCAGGCCACACACATCGATAGTGACTCGCCAGAAGCTCCGGGAACTTGGTTGGGAGGTTCTTATGCATCCACCTTATAGTCCGGCACCAAGTGATTACCATCTGTTCCTGTCCATGGCGAACAATTTTGCTGGTGAAAAATTCGCTTCAAGAGAGGCTTGTGAAAATCGACTGTCTCAATTTTTTGCCAATAGGGACGAGGGCTTCTATGAGAGAGGCATAATGAAATTACCTTCAAAATGGCAACAAGTTATCGAATAAAACGGCGCATATTTGACCTAAATCGGATCATTCTAACTATGGTAATTAAAGCCTTCAATTTCATGCAAAAATAATGGATTTCTTTTTACTACACCTAATATTAATCAAGTTTTAATTCGATATAGTTTTTTAAAGTCAAATTAGATATCATTGACATTTCGTCAATTATAATAAGAATAACATCTTTGAATAAAAAAATATCAAAATATGTAGAATATATACACATTCGATATGTATATTCTATAGTGGAGGTTTATAATTTATTATAATATAGGGTGTATTTACAAATTAGTTTGGTCCGTTTTCAAAAGATGACTCCGGCTGTTATGAATGGTTCATAGTGACTGCCGATTTTGGCGGTTTCAGAGAGATTAGACATCTGCCAATAATATTCAGTTTATATCATTTTGAGTTTCATACAAAAACCTTGCTTTTTACAGTGTTGAAAATGTCGAATTTTGTGTTAGCACCAAGCAGCATTTGCGGGAGGTTTTAATTTTCTGCTTTAATTGGAAGAAAAATGCAGCTGAAGCCCATCGAATGCTTGTTGAAGTTTATGGTGACGCTACTCCAACTGATAAATCATGTAGGAAATAGTTTCGATGTTTCAAGGATGGAGATTTCAGCGTCGAAGACAAGCCTCGCTCTGGACAGCCAAAAAAATTCGAGGACAAAGAATTAAAGGCATTACTCAAAGAAGATCAGAGTCAAACGTAAGAGGAGCTTGCAGAATCATTGGGATTGACTCAACAAGCCGTTTCCGTACGATTGAGAGACATGGGAATTATTAAAAAACAAGGAAATTGGGTGCCTTATGAACTGAAACCGAGAGACGTTGAAAGGCGTTCTTCATGACAACGCTCGGCCTCATGTCGCAAAAGTCGTAAAAAATATTTGGAAACGCTGAAATGGGATGTTTTACCGCACCCGCCGTATTCTCCGGACATTGCTCCTGATTATTGGTTGTTCCGAAGGATGCAGCACGATTTGGCAGGTCATCGGTTCACTTCTTTCGCAGATATCGAAAATTGGCTCCAAACTTGGATCGCCTCAAAAGACGAGTCATTTTTTCGAGATGGAATTCGAAAATTGCCTGAGAAATGGGAGAAAGTAGTAACCAACGATGGAAAATACTTTAATTGATCTGTTCATTCATTTTGTTTTGAAATAAATACATCTTTTAACACAAAAAACGGACCGAACTAATTTGTACTCCCAATACTATATAAACTTAAATAAAACATTACACCGTATATGTATAGAGAGAATTTACAAGTACATTTTATTATAATAAAAATGCTATCATGTATATATTAAACAAGTTTTTTCTTTATAGGTTTTTCCTTATAGCTCGCTCGCTCCTCGTCGTTCGCGCTCGCTCGCTCCTCGTCGCGCGCGATCGCCTTTTGTTGCTTACGTTGCTCCTCGCCGCGCGCGCTTGCCTACCGTTACTCACTGACTCTGCCTGTATCAAATGTTTACGTGCTTACTGCGGCCGCTCTCCGCTCTCTACGTGCTCGGTGGCTCACATGTTTTAATTAATAACTCGATAACTATTGCCAATTTGACATTATGGTACATGACTTTTCTTCTCGGCTACACCCAATCTATCTCCAACTTTCGTCTGCATGATCAGCTATCAAACACCCTGTATATGATTATTGTATATTTAACTTAATATTTTTAGAAATCTCAAATTCAAATTATTTTCTTTTTTAAGATATATATTATAATATATGTACATAAATTTTTAAAAGTAAAAATTATATCGTGTTATAAAAATTTAACATGTTTGTTAATCATGTGCTTATCATGTTAGCATTGATCATTTTTATTCATGCTAAAAAAAATAAGTATGATTATGTAAAGAATTTGTCTGCGTATTATTATACATTCTACATAGTTCTCCCTGTGATAGCAAAAATAACACACTTGAACAACCTCTACGCTCATATCACAAAGCCTGATCCACTGCGCTACTGAAGCAAATTGGTAATTCTTCTGCTATAACGACATTAACAGAAAAGACTAAACTTCAAACTGTATTTCTCAAAAACGTTTAAGATTTGCACCGTTTTTGGACAGCATCTGTTACTATTACATCAATATTATACTTTTCTAAAAGCAAAATCGCGCGGTGATTTCAAGGATGAAGATTCCTCTTATGTGAGATATTAATTATTCATTCTTTATTAATGGGAAAAAGTTTTCCTTCGGTTTAAATGTTCAAGAAAAGTTATTTGTTCTCTGAGAATCTTTCAATTTTTATGTTCGTGAAAAGTTTATAAAATTCGTAAAGAAAGAAAATTATTTTACTACCTACCTGTTCAAGAGTTGCGCACAAGAGATATTTTAACAAATCTGAATCCGAATCAGTCAACAAATTAAATTTTTCATTCAAAGAAGTATATATAGGGTAAGCATAAGTAAGATAAGTATAAATAATAAATTAAATATTATTCTCTGAATATAATAATAAATATTTTTTTCTTTAGCTGAATCATCGAAGTAAATATTCTATTATAAATTGACTTTTCGGATTACAATATTAATTTGATTTTTCAGAGTACGCTTTCAAATTGACTCTTCGGAATACGCTATTAAATTGACTTTTCGGAGTACACTTTTAAATTGACTCTTCTAACTACACATTTTTTAGTTGACTCTGTGGAGTACACATTTTTTAATTAACTCTTCGGAGAGAAGAGAAGAGAAATATTTTATATTTTATTTAAAAAATCTTAATTTTTGCAGAAAATTGATTGATGAAGAAAAAAATTAATTCACGACCTCAACGAAGATCTTAAAAAAATTACTGCAAGAAATGAAGTTGTTATTATATACCATATTGTACAATATTTAAACATACGCGCAATAATTATCTATAATTTGCATATATGGGCGTTTATGTAATTATAAGTAATGTAAAAGTCATGACAAATTAATGTGGCCGCGCGTTATCTCTGTCGCGTCATTGCTAGAAATCGTCCGAACTCTCGAAATTATTTTCTTCCCGAATTATGAATATAAAACAACGTGGAAAGGAAAACAAGGGGGTGAAAGAGGAGACGGCTACGTTTGCCTTACGGTAACATCGCTGCTGGCTCGCTTCAGTTTATCGTCGCGATTGTCTATTCGCTGGTGGTGAGACAAAAACCGATCCTCCGTTTTTATCTGACTAATCTAGCTCGCTCGTGAACGTAGCACAAAACAGAACCAAATAATTATGGACATAGCACGGAATAGTACCAATAAATCGTGGACATTGGCTTAGTAGTTCATGTCCATGAAAAATGGACCCAGTTGCCGCTTCGAATCAGCCAACTTTTCGATAACGCTGTAAATGCAACCATGGCCGCTCTCAGGCTTCTCTCTGCTGCGACTCACGACTGTCGTTTGGACGGCTTTCTGATTGGTTGTGGAAGAATCGCAATTGCAATCGCAGCCGCATCCGCAGTCGCGAGTCGCTAGTGTGATGCGGTCTTTAGAGCGTTGGAAGATTTCGATCGATAAAAATTGTCCCTAAAGCCAGCGGCACACGGTGCTTGTTTTCATGCTGGATTGCTTGCTGGATGAAAATACTGCGTTCTGATTAGTGCATTTCCATCCATCTTCGAAAATGTACCAATCACAACGCAATATTTTCATCCAGCAAGCAATCCAGAACAAAAACAAGCACCGTGTGGCGCTAGCTTAACAAATCGTCATAACTTCATAAACAAATTCCCAACAGTTGGTAATTTTTATATATTATCTATTAATATAAAAGAAGTTTGTTGATGTTTGTATTAATTGCTTTATATAAAATAATTCATATTTAAGCTTTATATAAATTAATAATAATAATAATAAATAATAATAATAAATTGTAATCAACTGTTACGAAAGATTAAAACGATACTTCTCGAAATGGAGAAAAGTTACTTTATCTTTCATTGTGTTGTACTACATAAAAATAAAAAGTCTTTCTGACTAGTCGTTGAGTCGTACTACGACTTCAATTTGCGACTCAGTAGTGCGACTCGACGACTGAGCAGATTTTATCTTTAATAACACGATTGTGAACAATGAATCGGTAATATTTTTGTCTCCGTTCAGGAAATAAAAGCTCTTCCGAGTCGACGATGAATTATAATAAGAATGTTTGAAGATAAGTATATGGTGTGATTAATCGATCCTTTGACATTGATTCATCGAACATCATTCAAAAAAACGTCATTCATTCTTAGGGGCGGGGTAACTGAGCGGTTCGCACGAGTTCGTAGGATGTGCGTCTCGGAGGGGGAGTTGAATGTGAGTTATTTAAAAATATGCTTTTATCGTATTATCTCCGTAGAATAGCGTGATCGAGCGTACAAAGTGACAGTGTGAGTTCACTGTCGGCGACAAATCCTAACTCTGATGATATAACACAATCCAACGATTGTAATCGGCACGTTAAATTCATTTGACAGTTCCTGAGGTTATTCCAGCAAGTGATTTTCGGACTCCGCAACGATGCAACGGTACGATTTACTGATCCAGGAGATCGAGAGCATTGACGATTACTTAGGTCCGACGTTTCGGTAAGTAAACTCAGCGAAATTTAAAGCTTGAGCCGAGATCGAAGTACGCGCCCCCGTGAGAAACACACCCCTTGATCACGCAGATGCGACGACCCCGAACGAATATGCGCACTCGACAGGGGTGGTCGAGGGGTGGCGATAAGGGTGGTGACCGACATGCACGCGTAATTCGCATTTCGAGCGGATTCTCAACAGGCTCGTAACATGTCAAGAATGTCAATTAACCCTTCGCAAAATCTGCTGTCTATGGTGCCGAAGCACGAATATTTACTTTTCGAAATAGAGTCCACTGACACTAATAGCATAGGTCTAGTTTTCAGGTACTGTGCTATGTGGCCATGTGCTCAAGCAGAAGCATGATAAGAACTGTCATTGTGTTTGCTTTGTGTTGTAGAGCAATTTATGATGGCCACGAGCATCAGAAGTTCATGGAGAAGCTGGATGATCGTATCAAGGCTCATGACAAGGACATTGAAAGGATGTGCAATCATCATTATCAAGGATTTATTGATTCTATCCGGGAACTCTTACAAGTTCGCTCTCAAGCGCAGCAACTTAATGTTAGTTCGTTATATATTATGCTCACCATATCTTAATTACATTAGCTTCGATTATGCTTGATGATATTCCATGGTATAATAAATACTTTATAATAGATCTAATATTACACATTTAGAAGAGGTGCAGAGATGATCCAACATCTGATTCAATTCTATAATTATCCAGGCAGATATATTGGAACTTGATAAACGTATCACTGCTACATCTACTAAAGTGATCGATAAGGGTGAAGAACTGGTTAAAGCTCGCAAAGTGGAGAGTAACATGGCTGCTGCTGTAGACAGTCTGACAATGTGCCTTCCTGTCTTAGCTGCATATGCAAAGTTACAGAAGCAGTTGAAGGATAAACGTTATTATCCAGCACTGAAAACATTGGAACAATTAGAGCATCATGATCTTCCAAAAGTCACGAATTATAGGTTTTCCTCTCAAATCACTCAACAAATTCCACAGTGAGTTCAATGAGATCCTCGTTTTGGTATTGTACTCGATTCAGCAAGAAAACGCTACAAAAGTATTTTCCTTACTTCAGATTGCGAGAGAATATAAAGGATGCATCTATGTCCGACTTGCGAGATTTTCTAGAAAACATCAGAAAGCATTCGCCAAAGATTGGAGAAGTTGCAATGAGGCATGTGAGTATAATTCTTATTTCTATTTAATATCTTCATCCATGCATATTACTTTTAGTTGAAATAATTGTGCTATCTCGTACAATTATAGTTGTACAATGTAACATATACATTTCTGTATGTGTATATTTTATTTTTGTTAAGATTAATGAGCTTATCAGCTTTGTTAAATGTACCCCAGACCGCCGAACAGTTGGCTACCGAGGCGGAAATTATTGGGAGGAAGAAGAGAAGATCTCACGCAAACAACTCGTCCACGAACGAGGGCGAAGAAGAACTGAGCGCTCAAGATTTGATGGACTTTAGTCCGGTGTATCGATGCATGCATATCTATACTGTGCTGCGCGAAGGAGATACTTTCAAAACTTACTACAGACAACAAAGGAAGCAGCAAGCTAGATTAGTTCTACAGCCACCTATTAACATGGTAAACTCGTCGGTTCAGCGTAATCTGTCGATATCGTCATGTCGCTCGCATCTATTACTAATAAGATCATTATGTCGCTATGACGAGATATTTCTGTTGTCAGCACGAAAGTATAGTCGGATATCAGACTTATCTGCACGGTATCATCGGCTTCTTTGTGGTAGAAGATCATATATTAAATACTGGTAACGGATTGGCCACACGCGCCTACTTGGATGAGCTTTGGTCAATGTCGTTGTCCACTATAGTCAACGCTTTACGGACACACTCAGTAAAAAAAAAATTATAATTGTTATATATTACTATATGCTCTTATTGTATCAGCGCGATAACTGTTCTGAACGAGGGATCCGTTTCAGGCATATTGCACAGACGCCATGCTCATATTGAAAATCAAGAATCTCATCATGCTGTTCAATACTACCCTTAGGGTAAGTAATGAAAAGCGTGTTAAATGTGTCAGGTTATTCGTATATAGTTAACGATGATCTCACGCGTTGAGTCATTTTGGATATATGGCAAAAATTTTCTTTTGCTTGAGATATTCAAAAGTTTTAAATCTTGTGCTTTCCTTTTTGAATTTTTTTTAATGGCTTGAGCATCAATTCTTGTAATAATAACATGTATGTACATTTCTCTTACGTACATTTGTGTAATTTATTATTCATACATAAGATATCCAAAACTTTTTTTTAGAACCATCAAGATTTTTAAAGATTGTCGTTATTACATGTACGTACGTGCATGTTTAACTCAATGAGGTTTTTTGTTATAAACAGAATTATGGCTACTCCGTAGGACAACTTTGGGACTTGCTACAAGAGATTAGAGTGCATTATAACGAAGTGCTGATGCAGCACTGGGTTCAAGTATTCAGAGACATTTTGGACGAAGACAGCTTCTTGCCAATTCAGGTAATTATTATTCGTTTTTATATTGTTTTTTTGCTTTTTAATGCTCGATTGTCATGTTCCAGGTTACAACGCAAGCCGAATATGACGACGTTCTTAATTTATTTCCTTATCACGACGAGGAACTGCAAAGGGCTGAATTTCCTAAAAAGTTTCCATTCTCGGATATGGTTCCCAAAGTTTACCAACAAGTGAAAGAGTTTATTTACGCTTGTTTAAAGTTCTCGGAAGACTTGAACTTTACGCAAACAGAAATCGACGAGATGATATGCAAGTCGACGAATCTGTTGCTAACGAGAACTTTCAGCGGATGCCTGTCGTCATTATTCCGGAAGCCGTCTTTAGCGCTTTTGCAAGTCGTTCAAATCATCATCAACACGGGTTACCTCGAGAAATCCACAAAGTACTTGGAGGAATTCCTGACTAACATCACTGGGTAAATATGTTGCGTTTTTTTTTTATGTAAATCGTTAGATATACATAAAAATAATATATGAAAATATTTATTTTATTAAAATATAAAATTTTGTATATCTCAGCACGCCACACAAGGGACAATTAAGTTGCGTGGGTGTGGAATCCGCCATGTTTCGAGTCGCACGGGACGACGCTGAGAAACAGATTTGCGACAAGTTGAAGAACAAGTTGGACGAATTCTTAGAATTAGAAAATTATGATTGGAATCTGGCGGAACCTCAAGGTCACGCCTCGGGATTCATCACGGATCTAATAGCGTTCTTGCAGAGCACCTTCACTTGCTTCACTAATCTACCGGTAGGTAAATAATATAATGTAAAATGTGAAACGCTCGTATAAATTGTGATAATTAATAATTCATGATATCTCAGGACGAGGTGGCTCAAGTAGCGTGCAAGTCCGCCTGTTCTCATATCGCTAAAGCCATATTAGGGATATTGATTAGCGAAGATGTGAAACAGATATCTATGGGTGCATTGCAGCAAGTCAATTTAGACACTATACAGTGTGAACGTAAGTTCTCGTATCTTTTTCGTCATACGATACTCTGGGAAAAAAAAATGGAAATGTTTTATTGCATTGTTCAGAATTTGCTGCTTCCGAGCCAGTCGTTGGTCTGCCGGAAGGGACGTTATTGCAATACTTCTCGCAATTGAGACAATTGTTAGATTTATTCATGAGTTGGGACTGGCCTACTTACTTTCACGATTATGGTCATGATTCCAGTAAATACAATCTAGTAACTCCGAATATGGCTGTACTTCTATTAGAAAAGTATGTGTCATCATTTCCACGCTTCATTGTTAATTTATACGTTTTATAATAATGTATATTTTTTTCTTTTAGATTGAAAGAATCAGATAAGAAAACAGTGTTTTCTGTGTTGAAGAAAAGCGAGAGAGATAAGAAAAAGTTGCTTGAAACCGTATTAAAGCAGCTGCGTCAACTAGCGCAGACAACTCAACAGTAGTGGAAACTATGGAAATTACTGATGTAATTATGTAAATATACATATAATTTTGTAAATGAATATTATAAAAAATTGAGTCTTAACGCGTGTGCTTATTTATTATGAAATATTTTATATAAATTATCACTATATACTATATAGCTAGTTATATAGTTATGAAATATGTAATTACACAATATATATTATAATTTGATATTAATATATTATATAAATGATATATTAATATAATGACATATATTATACATAGTGTATTATATTATAAAGTATATTTCATATATTACAAAATGTTTCATATATATTTATTGCCCTTTTTGCACAGATTTCATACTTCACATACTTAAAGTATATAAGTATATTCACAACTTGTATGTACAAGTGTACTCTTTGTATTCATTGATCTTAAATTTCAATTTTCAATATAATATTTATACTCGTGAGAATCAGCACAGGAACTGGGAATTAAAATACAAGCGCAATGTTTGTGTTCCCATATACTTATTACTTTTAATTTCCTTCTATATATTGGCATTGTTATATTACATGTAATCGAGTCACGTATCGTACAATTACTGTGTACAGCAGATTAAGTAGGATGTATAAAGTCCCGATTCCTAGATTCTAAAAGGTGTTCCTTTAGAATTTTTAGGTTCTAAAGGTATACCTTTAGAATCAAGTACAAAAGGATGCAATCGTTCGCTCTGTAGTCGTAAAGGGTTCTGCGACAGTGCGATTTAACAATTCGTTTCAAAAAAACAAAAAAGAACTATAAAGTAAATACATAGGTAGATGGAGTTATATTGAGAATAATAAAATAGATTAAATACAAATCAACAATAATTCCAATAAAGTAATACCAAGGGTTAAGTTAACGCTTGGTTCGTGATGAATCCATGCGGTATTTAGTAAGGGTAAAACAAATTATTAATAATATGCATATATAGACCAATCGTGTTGCATGTGGCACAATTTATTCGGCAATGCAAATTAGAATCTTTAGGACTAATCATCGATATTGTCAGGATCCACATCATCAGGTAGCATGGAATATTTGTTGGAAGCTACAAAATTCTGCAAAAGAAAGGCGACGTTACGACTGTTTGCACTAAATGCATTAAATGTATATTTGATTTCAACATGATTTGAATGCTTTGCTCGATACAGTTCGATATGTAGGCAATATACAGGGTGTCCCATTTAACCTGACAAATCGTAATATCTGGAAAACTACATGTCGGATAAAAAAAGTGGGTAATGAAATTTGTTCGTCTCGAAGGGGGACATCCAAACTCGACCTCCCATCCCACTCCCGGGGGGTGGGGGTGGGGGGCAACTTTGAAATCTTAAATGGGAACCCCCATTTTCTATTGCAGATTCGGATTCTACGCCACAAAATACGTAAGTTTCGTCCGAAACTTTTTTTTTGATTCGTGATAGATGGCGCTGTAATCGCAAAACATTAGATTTTCTGCAATTCTTCAGAAATGATCATTGGATTGAAAAATAAAAAAATACCTGTTCAATATTTTTTAAAATATTTTTAAAAAACATAATAACAGTTATTCCCCCCATCCTCTCGGGGTAGGGTGGGTGGTAACGTTCAAATCTCAAATGAGAACCCACATTTTTCATTGCAGAATTAGATTTTACGTGAAGTTTTTATGGAAACAATTTTTTTCATTTTTTTCACTCACCTAAAACAAGCACCCCGAAGGGAACAGAAAGCTACTACGTCCTCGTCGTTGTTCCTGGGTAACGCTAAAAGTAGTTTCTCGGAAAAATTCAACGCTATCTATCACGAATGAAAAAAATTGTTTCCATAAAAACTTCACGTAAAATCTAATTCTGCAATGAAAAATGTGGGTTCTCATTTGAGATTTGAACGTTACCACCCACCCTACCCCGAGGGGATGGGGGGAATAATTGTTATTATGTTTTTTAAAAATATTTTTAAAAGTATTGAACAGGTATTTTTTTATTTTTAAATCCAGTGATCATTTCTGAAGAATTGCAGAAAATCTAATTTTTTGCGATTACAGCGCCATCTATCACGAATCAAAAAAAAGTTTCGGACGAAACTTACGTATTTTGTGGCGTAGAATCCGAATCTGCAATAAAAAATGGGGGTTCCCATTTAAGATTTCAAAGTTGTCCCCCACCCCACCCCCCGGGAGTGGGGTGGGAGGTCGAGTTTGATATCATTGGATGTCCCCCTTCGAGACGAACAAATTTCATTACCCACTTTTTTTTATCCGACATGTAGTTTTCCAGATATTACGATTTGTCAGGTTAAATGGGACACCCTGTATAATAGGAGAACTCTTGTTTTTGAATTATTTCCACAAATTCCTTTGTGGAGAATGTTCAAACCGTATTGAAACCAAATGTACGATTTGTTCGACAGAATTTCACGCGATAAATAATTTTACTCACTGGAGCTTGTTCATCCTTTGCTTTCGGCATTCTGTTGATTTCATCTTTCTCTTTATCTTTGCGATCCCTGTTAATAACAGTGAATGATATATAGTTGTGCACAAACTGGTTTAGCACACAGAAGAAGCAATAAACTAAAGCGCAATCGGCTTTAAATCGGTTAGGGAAAGTTTCTATCGAGAACAACCTGACACGTTACACGTTACTTTTTTCTATAATTTCCACTAAAAATATCAAAGTCATTATGTGTAAACCTTTTGGACGAAACTATATAGTTTTTTTGACATTAATAGTTTCTCGTTGCATTTTGCAATATAAAAAAATATTAAGATAATCATCATAAAAAGAAAATATTTTCAATCATCTTTTTGCCGATACCTTTCTAGGGCACGAGCATCTTTTTCGCTAGGCTTCTGAAGTGCTTTGGCAGCTGCTGGTCCAGAACGCGAAGCTGGTGATGCTTTGGATTCATTTTGCGGTTCTATTCTCCAAATACACATATCACATTAACAACGTGTTTAACAAGTTGATGAAACCAAGACTCGGATAAATCACGTGAATTATTCAGTTTGTAATTGAAATATTCGAGTCTCGGGTAATTTGAACGTGATTAATAAGTGATCTGTTCGATTGATGTACAAATGTGACAAATGTACAAATACATTGCAAAATTACTAGCATTGTTACATGTATGTTACATACATCTATATATCGAACCGTACTGACTAATCTCATCAGACACTGAACAGATTCAAATGATACAAGATTCGATTTCAAAATTCATATTGTCTTTAAATTGTTTGAAATTTCCGAACATTAGAAACCGGATATCTAAGTAAAATTGAGTTTACCAGGACGCGCAGAAGTGAGTTGAGATCGTGATGCCGATCTTTCGATTCGAGCATCCTTGTCTTCCTCTGACCTCCAAGCCGGTCGATCCCTCTCCTTATCTTTGTCTTCACGTCCTTCCTGTATAATCAGAAATTGTTACGCATTGATTTAAGCTTTTTTTTTTAAGCTTTTTTCCAAGACGCGACAATTAAGTAGCCAGTTTGACACTCACTCCATTGCGTCGGCCCCAAGTGCCATCTCTGCTGGAGCGCTCTTTGTTATCTCTGAAAGCAGGATTCATGATCAATTTATGGATCAATTATCAAATTTTTACGTGAATATCTCATCGAAGCGATACGACGAGATTGGATAAAATACACAAGTTTAGAACATTGAGCGACAAATAAAGAATCGGAAGACTTGCTATTGATAAAGAATATTATATAAACACGCATATTTCATACATATGTCGACGTCCATAAATAAGTTGTTATTCTCCAATTATATAATAAGTAGGATATATAAAGAATATATCTACATATCTCAGACCTGCGGAATTCCAGATAGATTTCATTTCAAAATATTTACTTATAGATAGACTTATAGATAGATTTGTAACATGTCTGGCCTCCAGTAAACATAGAGAACCAAATTGTGCAAGTATGCATCGTTCATACATACGTTTCCTCTCGGGATCTTGACTCCGCGTAAGACTTGGCGAGACGTTCCTCGATTTCTCGTTCTCTGGCGGTCGTATCTACAGGTTTCGCCGCGCCGAAGATGTTGGTCGCGGGCGCAGAAGTCGAAGTTGGCTTATCGGAGCTTGGTGCTGACCCTGATTTCGCTGACTTCGATTCTGTCGAACTCTGTGTTGCCTGCTCCTCCGCCATTACGATCGGCTCCATTGGTTTCGTGCGTGGCTGAAGTTGCAATTTTGGTCTCGTTCGCGGCTCGGCTGTATGACGAAACAGATTATACATACCACTGATAGTACTCAATCATACATCTTTGGTATGTACAACGAGTAGATGGATTGAAATGCTGTAAACGTTCCAGAACAATGCAAATAATGAATTTCGTATAAAAAAAATATCTATGAGATAAAATAAAATATTGTGTGCTGAAAATATAAGCACTAATGTTGTTACTTGTACAAAGTAACACTTACGTTTTGCATCTGAGCTTGATCGATCTTGTCGACGATCGCGATCCCACTCGGAATCTCCGTAATTACGACGAGAGCCGAAACTGCTGCCTCCGTCTCTGTCTCTGCTGTCACGGTCGCCAAAGCGATTCCAGTCCCTGTCTCTGTCTCTGTCATCGTCCCTGAAGCCACCTCGATCCCTAAATGCTGATCCTCGATCACTACTATCTCTCTCACGCCATGCGCCAGGCTTGTTATCATAGTCATATCCTGTTTGACAATGAGTTTTTATTGTGAAAGTGATTCTCAAAGGAATTTTTTAAAACGCTTCAATACTTTCACGACTCTCTTTGGTATTCAGCAATAAATAATTGGTACTAGAAATAAAACCAATAACTGTATCGCAGATGTTGGATGTAAATTTAAATAAATGATCTGCAGGATAATTTTTAACGCAAATTGAAACTCGTGTTGAAGCTGGAAAGAGCGCGCATACTTTCTCTATCGTCTCGTCGATCTCTGTTATCGTATCGGCTGCGATAACTGTCTCCGTCGAGTAACTCCTCGCGTGGACCGCTTCTCCAATCACCAGATGTACGTTCCGGATCATCGTAATTATCCCTACGATTGTCCCTGCCCATCCGACCACCACGACGTTCGTCGTTACTGCTGTTGGATACCTCAATTCTTACTCGTCTTGTTTTAATCGTCTACAAGATAAATACATATCACATAAGTATCTCAAGAAGTTCCAATCTTCTGGATAGACTAATGGATATCATTTCCTCACTGTGTTCGTCATAGACAACGCGTCGATTAAACTCGGCCGGTCCTCAAATTCAACGTAACCATAGCCCCTACTTTTACTTGCATCTTTAGGCAAACGCATACCAGAAATCTGAGAAAATATAATGCATAAATCCGCAACTTTTATAACTTGCAACAAAAAGTGTGTAAATTGTTCGATTTAATTATCACATCAATTTTAGAATATAGTTGATTGTACAGGATGCTTAGAAATCTCAAAAGATTATGAAAACTGACCTTCATTTCTGAGAAAAATTCTACAAGATCAGATTCATCGATATCATATGGTAGATTGCTGATGTAAGCCACAAAAGGTCCATTTGTAGGAATATTCTCTTCATCAATTCCAGGACCTCGCGCAGCCCTAGGAGCTGTTGGTAAAATAACTGGGTCCTTGTTACTCCTAGATGAGAATCCTTCTACAAAATTCAAAAATTTGATATTTTATATTTCATTTGTAAAATAATAAAATAATCATTCACAAGTTCAATATCAAGGATAATCCCTACAAATTGCTATATTTTATTCTTAATACACTTTATTCTTAATATATATAGACACATCTAAGAATCTGTGAAAGATTTCATGAATTTGGGTCATGCAAACATGATCAATCGTTCGTCGGTAATATCACAAATCAAAATGACAGCAAATTCCTCTGACTCACCATGATCATCCTCCACATCATCTGCCCAGCTGGTTGATTTTAGCGCTACATTGGGACTGCTCTTTCCATCAGCCAAAAAGGACATAAGATCAAGGGTTACTCCCTTCTTCTTCTTACCCTTTTTACCTGCAAAATAAGAAAGGGGATTTTGTGGGATTTTGCTCCCCGCATGCTCAATGAGCTCTATAACACGACAAAATGAGCCTTTTAGGGGAGACAGATAAATGCTTGGTCGGATTGTTATCTTCGTCCAGGAACACCTTCAACAACTGAAATGAGATATCAAAGACAGCAATCCAACTAACATCTGTTTGTTTCCTTGAAGGTTCACTTCGGGACATTTGTACAACTCATTGGATGGAATGCCTCGCACAGCTTGACGCAATCATGAAAGCATGGTGAGCACGTCGCGTGCGCTTTGGTTAGGTCGACCGTGTCTCGCGAGAACGTCAACGATGCTCCCGGTGTCGCGCTCGCAGCGAAAAAAAATCGTGCATCGACGGATTCGTCGTCGCGCCGGGCGAATGCGTACCTGCGGACATGGTGAATATGAACGAGGATTCACAGGAATGCAAACCAGATCGTGCCTACGTGAGCCACACGACCGACCTCAGTCCGTAAGGCACGAATTATGTCTTCGTCAGATGTGTGTGTGCATGCATGAAACACATTTGATGCGTGAACTAACCGCCGTCGCGCCACCAAATCATGCCGTGAGAATTAACGTGCGGAGCAAACTTAAGCCGAAGGACCAATCAAGATATTCCTCTTGAGTAAGATTTAATTTAGAAGATCGAAATAGCGGTGAGTAACCGCGAGCGGAACTAGAATTTGAACCGTTTGAATTTCGCTTACGGTTATGGCTCATTAACCGGTTCGCAACTCGGGTGAAACTTTGTAATTCTGTACTTTTATAACGATGTCTCGATTGCACCGCGATTTCCAGAAATCGTAATCGAGAGACCTTATGCCACACAAATAACGTTACGATTGAAGATAGCAGGTATATAAAAAAAACCAGTAATGTAGAATTTTCATATCAATACATTTCAAAAAATTCCTCCTATAACGTAATATTACAGTTTTATTAATCGATAATAATAGAAAGACAAATGTATCAAATTACATTAGAGAACATTATTCTGGAATACAGGATGTCTAAGAATAATTTTATGAATAATCTGTACTCAGACAACTGATCATAAATGTTTTTAGACAAATGTCTTAGACATTCCAAAAACATTTGAAACAAGTAGGATATCTTTCAGGAGTTTCTAAATGTTTTAAATATTTATGCTGTGTGGGTAAATCTGATCATAAATGATGAAATAGAATTTGAGTATTATATATTAACATTTTCGGCATATTTTAAATATTTAGCAGGATAAGACTAGTTTCAGAGTAATGTACTTGAATGTAGTTTATGTTTGTATCACAAGTTTTTATTATTGGAGTCGAATAACAAGATCTGTACCAACATACTCAGGCAAATCAAGACTATATTGCATTTCTAACTTTTTAGGCATAAATCGTCCTCCCAGATAATGAAATCTTCCTTCAAATTTGGAGGCACACAACTTTGGTGCTGTCAAAGATATCAACATTTGCGGTTTTATACCACCTTCCTGCGGTGGACCATTCTCAACATCCCAGCCTGAAGGTATGTCTATACTACAAATAGGTACAGTTGTGCTCTTTAACAAATTAATTATGTGAACAAATGGCTCTCTCACTGGTGGCTTGAAACTGAATCCAAGGAGAGCGTCTACTATGATTGTATATTCTTGTAAAATTGTGACGTCTCTTGCTTCCTCTATACATTGATTCTCTAATACGGGAATGTCATTCTCGACACATTGATGCAGCAGTCTTTCGTAAAGTACATTGCTTGGCCTTTTCGGATAATAAATCTGCGGCGAATACCCGAAATGCTTCAGGTGTCTCGCACAGACGAGACCGTCGCCACCGTTGTTTCCTGGTCCGCAACACACCAGTACTTTGTTCGAGTTCTCCGACAGCGAGTACGATTTCGCAATCGCGATGGCGCAGCTCTGNCCAAGCATTTATCTGTCTCCCCTAAAAGGCTCATTTTGTCGTGTTATAGAGCTCATTGAGCATGCGGGGCAAAATCCCACAAAATCCCCTTTCTTATTTTGCAGGTAAAAGGGTAAGAAGAAGAAGGGAGTAACCCTTGATCTTATGTCCTTTTTGGCTGATGGAAAGAGCAGTCCCAATGTAGCGCTAAAATCAACCAGCTGGGCAGATGATGTGGAGGATGATCATGGTGAGTCAGAGGAATTTGCTGTCATTTTGATTTGTGATATTACCGACGAACGATTGATCATGTTTGCATGACCCAAATTCATGAAATCTTTCACAGATTTTAGATGTGTCTATATATATTAAGAATAAAGTGTATTAAGAATAAAATATAGCATTTGTAGGGATTATCCTTGATATTGAACTTGTGAATGATTATTTTATTATTTTACAAATGAAATATAAAATATCAAATTTTTGAATTTTGTAGAAGGATTCTCATCTAGGAGTAACAAGGACCCAGTTATTTACCAACAGCTCCTAGGGCTGCGCGAGTCCTGGAATTGATGAAGAGAATATTCCTCAAATGGACCTTTTGTGGCTTACATCAGCAATCTACCATATGATATCGATGAATCTGATCTTGTAGAATTTTTCTCAGAAATGAAGGTCAGTTTTCATAATCTTTTGAGATTTCTAAGCATCCTGTACAATCAACTATATTCTAAAATTGATGTGATAATTAAATCGAACAATTTACACACTTTTTGTTGCAAGTTATAAAAGTTGCGGATTTATGCATTATATTTTCTCAGATTTCTGGTATGCGTTTGCCTAAAGATGCAAGTAAAAGTAGGGGCTATGGTTACGTTGAATTTGAGGACCGGCCGAGTTTAATCGACGCGTTGTCTATGACGAACACAGTGAGAAATGATATCCATTAGTCTATCCAGAAGATTGGAACTTCTTGAGATACTTATGTGATATGTATTTATCTTGTAGACGATTAAAACAAGACGAGTAAGAATTGAGGTATCCAACAGCAGTAACGACGCGTCGTGGTGGCGATGGGCAGGACAATCGTAGGGATAATTACGATGATCCGGAACGTACATCTGGTGATTGGAGAAGCGGTCCACGCGAGGAGTTACTCGACGGAGACAGTTATCGCAGCCGATACGATAACAGAGATCGACGAGACGATAGAGAAAGTATGCGCGCTCTTTCCAGCTTCAACACGAGTTTCAATTTGCGTTAAAAATTATCCTGCAGATCATTTATTTAAATTTACATCCAACATCTGCGATACAGTTATTGGTTTTATTTCTAGTACCAATTATTTATTGCTGAATACCAAAGAGAGTCGTGAAAGTATTGAAGCGTTTTAAAAATTCCTTTGAGAATCACTTTCACAATAAAAACTCATTGTCAAACAGGATATGACTATGATAACAAGCCTGGCGCATGGCGTGAGAGAGATAGTAGTGATCGAGGATCAGCATTTAGGGATCGAGTGGCTTCAGGGACGATGACAGAGACAGAGACAGGGACTGGAATCGCTTTGGCGACCGTGACAGCAGAGACAGAGACGGAGGCAGCAGTTTCGGCTCTCGTCGTAATTACGGAGATTCCGAGTGGGATCGCGATCGTCGACAAGATCGATCAAGCTCAGATGCAAAACGTAGTGTTACTTTGTACAAGTAACAACATTAGTGCTTATATTTTCAGCACACAATATTTTATTTTATCTCATAGATATTTTTTTTATACGAAATTCATTATTTGCATCTGTTCTGGAACGTTACAGCATTTCAATCCATCTACTCGTGTACATACCAAAGATGTATGATTGAGTACTATCAGTGGTATGTATAATCTGTTTCGTCATACAGCCGAGCCGCGAACGAGACCAAAATTGCAACTTCAGCCACGCACGAAACCAATGGAGCCGATCGTAATGGCGGAGAGCAGGCAACACAGAGTTCGACAGAATCGAAGTCAGCGAAATCAGGGTCAGCACCAAGCTCCGATAAGCCAACTTCGACTTCTGCGCCCGCGACCAACATCTTCGGCGCGGCGAAACCTGTAGATACGACCGCCAGAGAACGAGAAATCGAGGAACGTCTCGCCAAGTCTTACGCGGAGTCAAGATCCCGAGAGGAAACGTATGTATGAACGATGCATACTTGCACAATTTGGTTCTCTATGTTACTGGAGGCAGACATGTTACAAATCTATCTATAAGTCTATCTATAAGTAAATATTTTGAAATGAAATCTATCTGGAATTCCGCAGGTCTGAGATATGTAGATATATTCTTTATATATCCTACTTATTATATAATTGGAGAATAACAACTTATTTATGGACGTCGACATATGTATGAATATGCGTGTTTATATAATATTCTTTATCAATAGCAAGTCTTCCGATTCTTTATTTGTCGCTCAATGTTCTAAACTTGTGTATTTATCCAATCTCGTCGTATCGCTTCGATGAGATATTCACGTAAAAATTTGATAATTGATCCATAAATTGATCATGAATCCTGCTTTCAGAGATAACAAAGAGCGCTCCAGCAGAGATGGCACTTGGGGCCGACGCAATGGAGTGAGTGTCAAACTGGCTACTTAATTGTCGCGTCTTGGAAAAAAGCTTAAAAAAAAAAGCTTAATCAATGCGTAACAATTTCTGATTATACAGGAAGGACGTGAAGACAAAGATAAGGAGAGGGATCGACCGGCTTGGAGGTCAGAGGAAGACAAGGATGCTCGAATCGAAAGATCGGCATCACGATCTCAACTCACTTCTGCGCGTCCTGGTAAACTCAATTTTACTTAGATATCCGGTTTCTAATGTTCGGAAATTTCAAACAATTTAAAGACAATATGAATTTTGAAATCGAATCTTGTATCATTTGAATCTGTTCAGTGTCTGATGAGATTAGTCAGTACGGTTCGATATATAGATGTATGTAACATACATGTAACAATGCTAGTAATTTTGCAATGTATTTGTACATTTGTCACATTTGTACATCAATCGAACAGATCACTTATTAATCACGTTCAAATTACCCGAGACTCGAATATTTCAATTACAAACTGAATAATTCACGTGATTTATCCGAGTCTTGGTTCATCAACTTGTTAAACACGTTGTTAATGTGATATGTGTATTTGGAGAATAGAACCGCAAAATGAATCCAAAGCATCACCAGCTTCGCGTTCTGGACCAGCAGCTGCCAAAGCACTTCAGAAGCCTAGCGAAAAAGATGCTCGTGCCCTAGAAAGGTATCGGCAAAAAGATGATTGAAAATATTTTCTTTTATGATGATTATCTTAATATTTTTTTATATTGCAAAATGCAACGAGAAACTATTAATGTCAAAAAAACTATATAGTTTCGTCCAAAAGGTTTACACATAATGACTTTGATATTTTTTAGTGGAAATTATAGAAAAAAGTAACGTGTAACGTGTCAGGTTGTTCTCGATAGAAACTTTCCCTAACCGATTTAAAGCCGATTGCGCTTTAGTTTATTGCTTCTTCTGTGTGCTAAACCAGTTTGTGCACAACTATATATCATTCACTGTTATTAACAGGGATCGCAAAGATAAAGAGAAAGATGAAATCAACAGAATGCCGAAAGCAAAGGATGAACAAGCTCCAGTGAGTAAAATTATTTATCGCGTGAAATTCTGTCGAACAAATCGTAACATTTGGTTTCAATACGGTTTGAACATTCTCCACAAAGGAATTGTGGAAATAATTCAAAACAAGAGTTCTCCTATTATACAGGGTGTCCCATTTAACCTGACAAATCGTAATATCTGGAAAACTACATGTCGGATAAAAAAAGTGGGTAATGAAATTTGTTCGTCTCGAAGGGGGACATCCAAACTCGACCTCCCATCCCACTCCCGGGGGGTGGGGGTGGGGGGCAACTTTGAAATCTTAAATGGGAACCCCCATTTTTTATTGCAGATTCGGATTCTACGCCACAAAATACGTAAGTTTCGTCCGAAACTTTTTTTTTGATTCGTGATAGATGGCGCTGTAATCGCAAAAAATTAGATTTTCTGCAATTCTCCAGAAATGATCATTGGATTGAAAAATAAAAAAATACCTGTTCAATATTTTTAAAATATTTTTAAAAAACATAATAACAGTTATTCCCCCCATCCTCTCGGGGTAGGGTGGGTGGTAACGTTCAAATCTCAAATGAGAACCCACATTTTTCATTGCAGAATTAGATTTTACGTGAAGTTTTTATGGAAACAATTTTTTTCATTTTTTTCACTCACCTAAAACAAGCACCCCGAAGGGAACAGAAAGCTACTACGTCCTCGTCGTTGTTCCTGGGTAACGCTAAAAGTAGTTTCTCGGAAAAATTCAACGCTATCTATCACGAATGAAAAAAATTGTTTCCATAAAAACTTCACGTAAAATCTAATTCTGCAATGAAAAATGTGGGTTCTCATTTGAGATTTGAACGTTACCACCCACCCTACCCCGAGGGGATGGGGGAATAATTGTTATTATGTTTTTTAAAAATATTTTTAAAAGTATTGAACAGGTATTTTTTTATTTTTAAATCCAGTGATCATTTCTGAAGAATTGCAGAAAATCTAATTTTTGCGATTACAGCGCCATCTATCACGAATCAAAAAAAAGTTTCGGACGAAACTTACGTATTTTGTGGCGTAGAATCCGAATCTGCAATAAAAAATGGGGGTTCCCATTTAAGATTTCAAAGTTGTCCCCCACCCCACCCCCCGGGAGTGGGGTGGGAGGTCGAGTTTGATATCATTGGATGTCCCCCTTCGAGACGAACAAATTTCATTACCCACTTTTTTTTATCCGACATGTAGTTTTCCAGATATTACGATTTGTCAGGTTAAATGGGACACCCTGTATAATAGGAGAACTCTTGTTTTTGAATTATTTCCACAAATTCCTTTGTGGAGAATGTTCAAACCGTATTGAAACCAAATGTACGATTTGTTCGACAGAATTTCACGCGATAAATAATTTTACTCACTGGAGCTTGTTCATCCTTTGCTTTCGGCATTCTGTTGATTTCATCTTTCTCTTTATCTTTGCGATCCCTGTTAATAACAGTGAATGATATATAGTTGTGCACAAACTGGTTTAGCACACAGAAGAAGCAATAAACTAAAGCGCAATCGGCTTTAAATCGGTTAGGGAAAGTTTCTATCGAGAACAACCTGACACGTTACACGTTACTTTTTTCTATAATTTCCACTAAAAATATCAAAGTCATTATGTGTAAACCTTTTGGACGAAACTATATAGTTTTTTTGACATTAATAGTTTCTCGTTGCATTTTGCAATATAAAAAAATATTAAGATAATCATCATAAAAAGAAAATATTTTCAATCATCTTTTTGCCGATACCTTTCTAGGGCACGAGCATCTTTTTCGCTAGGCTTCTGAAGTGCTTTGGCAGCTGCTGGTCCAGAACGCGAAGCTGGTGATGCTTTGGATTCATTTTGCGGTTCTATTCTCCAAATACACATATCACATTAACAACGTGTTTAACAAGTTGATGAAACCAAGACTCGGATAAATCACGTGAATTATTCAGTTTGTAATTGAAATATTCGAGTCTCGGGTAATTTGAACGTGATTAATAAGTGATCTGTTCGATTGATGTACAAATGTGACAAATGTACAAATACATTGCAAAATTACTAGCATTGTTACATGTATGTTACATACATCTATATATCGAACCGTACTGACTAATCTCATCAGACACTGAACAGATTCAAATGATACAAGATTCGATTTCAAAATTCATATTGTCTTTAAATTGTTTGAAATTTCCGAACATTAGAAACCGGATATCTAAGTAAAATTGAGTTTACCAGGACGCGCAGAAGTGAGTTGAGATCGTGATGCCGATCTTTCGATTCGAGCATCCTTGTCTTCCTCTGACCTCCAAGCCGGTCGATCCCTCTCCTTATCTTTGTCTTCACGTCCTTCCTGTATAATCAGAAATTGTTACGCATTGATTTAAGCTTTTTTTTTTAAGCTTTTTTCCAAGACGCGACAATTAAGTAGCCAGTTTGACACTCACTCCATTGCGTCGGCCCCAAGTGCCATCTCTGCTGGAGCGCTCTTTGTTATCTCTGAAAGCAGGATTCATGATCAATTTATGGATCAATTATCAAATTTTTACGTGAATATCTCATCGAAGCGATACGACGAGATTGGATAAAATACACAAGTTTAGAACATTGAGCGACAAATAAAGAATCGGAAGACTTGCTATTGATAAAGAATATTATATAAACACGCATATTTCATACATATGTCGACGTCCATAAATAAGTTGTTATTCTCCAATTATATAATAAGTAGGATATATAAAGAATATATCTACATATCTCAGACCTGCGGAATTCCAGATAGATTTCATTTCAAAATATTTACTTATAGATAGACTTATAGATAGATTTGTAACATGTCTGGCCTCCAGTAAACATAGAGAACCAAATTGTGCAAGTATGCATCGTTCATACATACGTTTCCTCTCGGGATCTTGACTCCGCGTAAGACTTGGCGAGACGTTCCTCGATTTCTCGTTCTCTGGCGGTCGTATCTACAGGTTTCGCCGCGCCGAAGATGTTGGTCGCGGGCGCAGAAGTCGAAGTTGGCTTATCGGAGCTTGGTGCTGACCCTGATTTCGCTGACTTCGATTCTGTCGAACTCTGTGTTGCCTGCTCCTCCGCCATTACGATCGGCTCCATTGGTTTCGTGCGTGGCTGAAGTTGCAATTTTGGTCTCGTTCGCGGCTCGGCTGTATGACGAAACAGATTATACATACCACTGATAGTACTCAATCATACATCTTTGGTATGTACAACGAGTAGATGGATTGAAATGCTGTAAACGTTCCAGAACAATGCAAATAATGAATTTCGTATAAAAAAAATATCTATGAGATAAAATAAAATATTGTGTGCTGAAAATATAAGCACTAATGTTGTTACTTGTACAAAGTAACACTTACGTTTTGCATCTGAGCTTGATCGATCTTGTCGACGATCGCGATCCCACTCGGAATCTCCGTAATTACGACGAGAGCCGAAACTGCTGCCTCCGTCTCTGTCTCTGCTGTCACGGTCGCCAAAGCGATTCCAGTCCCTGTCTCTGTCTCTGTCATCGTCCCTGAAGCCACCTCGATCCCTAAATGCTGATCCTCGATCACTACTATCTCTCTCACGCCATGCGCCAGGCTTGTTATCATAGTCATATCCTGTTTGACAATGAGTTTTTATTGTGAAAGTGATTCTCAAAGGAATTTTTAAAACGCTTCAATACTTTCACGACTCTCTTTGGTATTCAGCAATAAATAATTGGTACTAGAAATAAAACCAATAACTGTATCGCAGATGTTGGATGTAAATTTAAATAAATGATCTGCAGGATAATTTTTAACGCAAATTGAAACTCGTGTTGAAGCTGGAAAGAGCGCGCATACTTTCTCTATCGTCTCGTCGATCTCTGTTATCGTATCGGCTGCGATAACTGTCTCCGTCGAGTAACTCCTCGCGTGGACCGCTTCTCCAATCACCAGATGTACGTTCCGGATCATCGTAATTATCCCTACGATTGTCCCTGCCCATCCGACCACCACGACGTTCGTCGTTACTGCTGTTGGATACCTCAATTCTTACTCGTCTTGTTTTAATCGTCTACAAGATAAATACATATCACATAAGTATCTCAAGAAGTTCCAATCTTCTGGATAGACTAATGGATATCATTTCCTCACTGTGTTCGTCATAGACAACGCGTCGATTAAACTCGGCCGGTCCTCAAATTCAACGTAACCATAGCCCCTACTTTTACTTGCATCTTTAGGCAAACGCATACCAGAAATCTGAGAAAATATAATGCATAAATCCGCAACTTTTATAACTTGCAACAAAAAGTGTGTAAATTGTTCGATTTAATTATCACATCAATTTTAGAATATAGTTGATTGTACAGGATGCTTAGAAATCTCAAAAGATTATGAAAACTGACCTTCATTTCTGAGAAAAATTCTACAAGATCAGATTCATCGATATCATATGGTAGATTGCTGATGTAAGCCACAAAAGGTCCATTTGTAGGAATATTCTCTTCATCAATTCCAGGACCTCGCGCAGCCCTAGGAGCTGTTGGTAAAATAACTGGGTCCTTGTTACTCCTAGATGAGAATCCTTCTACAAAATTCAAAAATTTGATATTTTATATTTCATTTGTAAAATAATAAAATAATCATTCACAAGTTCAATATCAAGGATAATCCCTACAAATTGCTATATTTTATTCTTAATACACTTTATTCTTAATATATATAGACACATCTAAGAATCTGTGAAAGATTTCATGAATTTGGGTCATGCAAACATGATCAATCGTTCGTCGGTAATATCACAAATCAAAATGACAGCAAATTCCTCTGACTCACCATGATCATCCTCCACATCATCTGCCCAGCTGGTTGATTTTAGCGCTACATTGGGACTGCTCTTTCCATCAGCCAAAAAGGACATAAGATCAAGGGTTACTCCCTTCTTCTTCTTACCCTTTTTACCTGCAAAATAAGAAAGGGGATTTTGTGGGATTTTGCTCCCCGCATGCTCAATGAGCTCTATAACACGACAAAATGAGCCTTTTAGGGGAGACAGATAAATGCTTGGTCGGATTGTTATCTTCGTCCAGGAACACCTTCAACAACTGAAATGAGATATCAAAGACAGCAATCCAACTAACATCTGTTTGTTTCCTTGAAGGTTCACTTCGGGACATTTGTACAACTCATTGGATGGAATGCCTCGCACAGCTTGACGCAATCATGAAAGCATGGTGAGCACGTCGCGTGCGCTTTGGTTAGGTCGACCGTGTCTCGCGAGAACGTCAACGATGCTCCCGGTGTCGCGCTCGCAGCGAAAAAAAATCGTGCATCGACGGATTCGTCGTCGCGCCGGGCGAATGCGTACCTGCGGACATGGTGAATATGAACGAGGATTCACAGGAATGCAAACCAGATCGTGCCTACGTGAGCCACACGACCGACCTCAGTCCGTAAGGCACGAATTATGTCTTCGTCAGATGTGTGTGTGCATGCATGAAACACATTTGATGCGTGAACTAACCGCCGTCGCGCCACCAAATCATGCCGTGAGAATTAACGTGCGGAGCAAACTTAAGCCGAAGGACCAATCAAGATATTCCTCTTGAGTAAGATTTAATTTAGAAGATCGAAATAGCGGTGAGTAACCGCGAGCGGAACTAGAATTTGAACCGTTTGAATTTCGCTTACGGTTATGGCTCATTAACCGGTTCGCAACTCGGGTGAAACTTTGTAATTCTGTACTTTTATAACGATGTCTCGATTGCACCGCGATTTCCAGAAATCGTAATCGAGAGACCTTATGCCACACAAATAACGTTACGATTGAAGATAGCAGGTATATAAAAAAAACCAGTAATGTAGAATTTTCATATCAATACATTTCAAAAAATTCCTCCTATAACGTAATATTACAGTTTTATTAATCGATAATAATAGAAAGACAAATGTATCAAATTACATTAGAGAACATTATTCTGGAATACAGGATGTCTAAGAATAATTTTATGAATAATCTGTACTCAGACAACTGATCATAAATGTTTTTAGACAAATGTCTTAGACATTCCAAAAACATTTGAAACAAGTAGGATATCTTTCAGGAGTTTCTAAATGTTTTAAATATTTATGCTGTGTGGGTAAATCTGATCATAAATGATGAAATAGAATTTGAGTATTATATATTAACATTTTCGGCATATTTTAAATATTTAGCAGGATAAGACTAGTTTCAGAGTAATGTACTTGAATGTAGTTTATGTTTGTATCACAAGTTTTTATTATTGGAGTCGAATAACAAGATCTGTACCAACATACTCAGGCAAATCAAGACTATATTGCATTTCTAACTTTTTAGGCATAAATCGTCCTCCCAGATAATGAAATCTTCCTTCAAATTTGGAGGCACACAACTTTGGTGCTGTCAAAGATATCAACATTTGCGGTTTTATACCACCTTCCTGCGGTGGACCATTCTCAACATCCCAGCCTGAAGGTATGTCTATACTACAAATAGGTACAGTTGTGCTCTTTAACAAATTAATTATGTGAACAAATGGCTCTCTCACTGGTGGCTTGAAACTGAATCCAAGGAGAGCGTCTACTATGATTGTATATTCTTGTAAAATTGTGACGTCTCTTGCTTCCTCTATACATTGATTCTCTAATACGGGAATGTCATTCTCGACACATTGATGCAGCAGTCTTTCGTAAAGTACATTGCTTGGCCTTTTCGGATAATAAATCTGCGGCGAATACCCGAAATGCTTCAGGTGTCTCGCACAGACGAGACCGTCGCCACCGTTGTTTCCTGGTCCGCAACACACCAGTACTTTGTTCGAGTTCTCCGACAGCGAGTACGATTTCGCAATCGCGATGGCGCAGCTCTGACCAGCTAATTCCATTAGCTGGTCCACGCTAAATCGATATCTCTCAAACAGATCTTTATCGACATTGATTGCTTCAGACTGATTCAGATATTTCACCATCCTGCCGTGTTTCCTCTTGATCGACGAATCAAACGATCTGTCATTCGTCAGGGAAATTTTCAGCTGCTCAACGTTCAGCAATCTGTGAATACACGGTGCGAATCGTAGCATTTACTAGCGAATCACTTCAGATTTGCTTGATCTCACGTGTCCTATATATACCTGCTCACATGTGCAAGTCAGTCTTTTTTAGAGTATAAAAAATAAAAATATGTCAAAACCATCGACAAAGAAACAAGAGAGGAAACATCTCATCCTCTTTATGTTTCCTTTAGGTTCATATCAAACTATATGATGAAGATTGGAAATTATAAAGTGGAAATAGAAATCGACCAATCAGTACGAAGCGAGCTAAAGCTTATTCAACTTCCAATATACGACGATCCAGTGGGAGACTTTATTTTCTAGATGTTTTAGCTGGCGCCATTATACAAATAGCTTGATTTTTTTATATCAATTTATATATGTGCATGCGTATGTGATATTTTTTTATTTTACTTCACACTACGAACATAGATGATACTTGTCCAAAGTTGTCTTGGAAAATTCTTTATATTTTAATCTACTTTACTACGATACGTTGTCGACTATACATTTCACTACGAAATTCACGAATCTTGCCAGCAGAAATCCACACGTCGCTAGTCCTCGCAATACTATCTATCTGACAAGTCGTCGCTGCTTGCCATTGTTGTGCTTTTTAGGTTGCCATAACGATAGATTATCACCAACGTATTATCCGTGAAACTTCATGACACAACTTCAGATGTTTATTTCGCGTGTTATTGCAGCATCGCCATGGCGGATAAAGTCCGTAAAATTTCGAATTGAATAAAGGAACATGAGTCCATTCGGTGGACGTGAATTAGTCATAATAAGCAAGAAATAGACGGACACTGTACCTGTTTAGATATTTATGAGCTCGAATTAGAGGTGGTCCGTACGAATTCGATTACTTGATCGGAAAACTTTAATTCGCCGAATTTGCAAGTGAGGCAAAAGAAACGGGCGGGTATATTTGATATTTGATGTTTAGCGATACGTTATTTAGGCTGTGCGAATTCGACGAAAACCGCTGGCAGTTGAATGGCATAAAAAAAAATGGAGGAAAAGAACAAGGCGAACATTATCTAGCGAGAAATATTTATAAACGCCCGTACATTTTGCACGGGCACTCGACATATGGTTTTCGAAACTTTTGCCGTGGGCATGCGTGATACGCCTCGAGAGAAAGAGAAATGAGGGAGAACGTTAAATTTATAAAAAAATGTCAGTCTCCGTGCAGCCTCGGACATGGACAGCTCCAAACGATTGGCAGAGACAGGTTCGTTGGTCAGGTTTTCCTGTACGATCAAGCAATGCACGAAAACTACGTGAGACACGAAACCTTGGGTGATGGGTGTTAGAATTTCTGTCGCGTAAAAATTCGAGTTACTTCGAGTGTAAAATTGACGTGTGTCGTAATAATAATTAATCTCCACGTTTTCGAGATTTTCAGGAACTCTCAATCTCGAGCGAGTCCACTCGAAATGATTCATCACGCGTATAGAATGATATTCTGATGTATCTTGCGAGCTGATTACCACTCGAGTCTGGTGTGAACCGGTCGTCACTTTCGCTCGCTGTCAAATTTTACACTTCGTCAATTTTGACACCTGATTGTTACCGAAAAACGCGTTTTCGAGGAGGCAGATCTCGATAACGCGTGATCGCGACGATTCGTCAAGATTCAATGTTCACTTGTCGTTTCTATTTATCGAGCTGATAAATGATCAGCATGATAATGACCATAGATTTAGAATGGGCGGTCGGGATAAATCGGACTTCCCTGAAAATCCTCGGTCTTTGGCCCGACGATAAGCTGACTCGCCGACAGAGTCTCGTCGCAGATGCGCGAGCCTTCTCAATTTTCCTTCTGATGATGCTCACGGCGATCTTGCCCCAGATGTTCGCCATGTTCCATGTGTGGGGCGACATAATGGCGTTCACCGACAACCTGCAGCTTTCCGTGCCCTTCTCGGTGACCGTCATGAAATTCTTCATCATGTGGATCCGCAAAGAAGGTAAATTCAGAGAGCCAGCCGAATGTTGTTTTCTCGAGTGACCAGTCGAAGATAACAAGCATAAACAACTCGAGGATTCATTCGTATGTGACAAGCAAAGTTCTTTCGAGAATTTCAAGCTGATCTCATGAAGATTCTTTCGAACAATGCTGGATTCGGTTTCCAGGCTGGAAACAGGGTAATGATGATATAACTTTTCCCTCGAACGCTCAAACCAATTTTCTCTTGACGATAAATCCACTGATAGCTCCAATTCGGAGGCCCAATCCAGCATCTCTCCACACTGCGATAGAGATCAGATGTCAGATGATTAATATGGAAATATCAAATTGCCCGAACAATGATCAATTTCGTGCAATCGTTAACACTTGCCTCTATCGACGACTGATGACTCAGCCATTTCCCAGAAGCGTCGACTTGATAACCGTAAAAACACATCTCGTTCTCTCCGAAGAGCTCAAGCCGCTCGTGAACATGATCGTGAACGATTGGTTCAAGACAAAAACAGCGCTGGAACGGGCCACCATGATCAAGCAGGCGAGGATCGCCCGCACGATCGTCATGCTTGGCGGGATTATGATGACTCTGGCGAGTATCATTCTCATCATACCACCATGCTTCGGCTATTCGATGAGGTACGTGACGAATATCACGGACTTGGGCAAGCCGTTGCTGCTGCAATCGTATTTCTTTCGCGAAATAGAGAGTCCGTTCTTCGAGGTCGCGTTCATCGGTCAAGCCTTATCGATTTCCTTGGCGGCGATCTCTTACACGGGCATCGACAATTTCCTAGGCCTAGTTGTGTTTCACATATGCGCCCAACTCGACCTCCTCAAGTACCGTTTGCTCAACTTGCACAACTTCCGAGACTTCAACGCTAGCTTGTCCTACAACGTTAAGGATCACCTACGTCTGATCAGGTTGTGCTGAACTTTCCCGGTTACCTATGGCTGTGTCTTTGTCAGATGTGTGATAGTGGTTTAGAAAGCTGCAGCAACATTGCTGCAATGTTGCTGCAACTTTTGTGCTGTATGGGTGTAATCATATAGTTTGCCGTGGTAATTTCAATGAAAATGAAACGTACGTAGAGATCGGGAATAATTTCATTGACAATAAATAAAGATTTCGCCAAGATATGCCGAGTTACATGCTCCGGAAATTTTCTTGGAATGAAATCTCGCTTGAAACGAGTGAAAGTTCACCGAAATCTGACGTACAATATGCAATGTATATCTTGTACTCGTAGGTCCGTCGATGCCATCGACAACACATTCAATCTGATGCTCTTGGCACTGTTACTGTTTTTCGGCATATTATTCTGTATGCAAGGATTTCTGATAATTAGCGTAAGTTGCCGAGGTAGGAGGAAAACTAGACTGTTGCAGCAAGGTAACATGTCGCGATTTCTCGTCGCAACAACGACAATGTAAAAAGACCTCAGACGCGCGACAGTTCTGCCGATTCTCCGCATGCGTGATTGTAATATATGTATTGCGATATGTACCTCAAAAATCGGGCAATAACAAACGAAATCGTCGAGATTAAAAATGCTCGGATATCCGAAACTATACCCGCGATGGCGAATGACAATTAGTGGTTCGAATCGCGCAAGTAGAGACGCAAGTATTTGCAATTTCGAGCGTACTCAAATTCAGGTGGTCATTTGCGTGATTGAAAAACTTATTCGGGGTCGAATCAGGACTCCGAGAACAATATCCAACGCAGCTATTCCGCAAGTATTTTCGGATAACCATGCATACACCCGCTGAGATTGCGCAGAAAATGACCCGTGTATATATTCAACCTGTCTAGATCATCGACGGTAACGGCGGGGACGTTAGCATTATGCGAATATGTTGGCTCGTTTCGATACTTATTAATACGTTCGCTCACATGTGCCTGTACTGCATAGTCGGCGAGATCCTCATAGCCAAAGTGAGTACTCGTTGTTAAATGTTGCGAAGTGATCGCTACCCATATAGCATAAACGTTGGAGCAACATTGCTGCAACGTTGCGGCAATGTTGCTGCAACTTTCTATGCTGTATGGGTAATGCTGCGGAATCGCGGGTCCCAACTCTTCCAGCTGATCCGTTAGAAAATACGAACAATTACAATAAATCGTGCCTTCTCTCTTTCTCTGTCTTTCTTGACGTTTCTCTTGAATGAGGAAAAAAAAGAAGAAATGTTACACACGAAATTCGACATACATATATACGATTCGTAATATAATGACATCTACGCAGTGTGATGGGGTGTATTATGCAACGTATGGTTTGGCCTGGTACACACTGAAGCCGAACCAAGCCAGAGACATGATGCTGATGATGATACGAGCTGAGAAGCCTCTGTATATTACCGCCGGCAGGATATTCCCCATGACAATGTCGTTGTTTTGTAGCGTAAGGCATTCGCAATGTAATATAATAGAACTCTGTCTGTCCGGGACTTTTTGACCTTTTTTTCTCATCATTCTTTCTCACATTCACATACATCCGTGTATTTTGTTTTCAGTTGATAAAGACATCGGCTGGATATATATCCGTATTGCTTACTAATCGTTAATGCCCCGAAATTGAGTGAAAATTCGTGTAAGAGTTTTATAAAACATACATCGCAAACGGGGAACAATGAATTGTTTAAACGTATTATACGTAATAATTATACCTATATGCATTTTACGTTGAATGGTGATCTACAGTGCAATTGTTTTGAATAAAGAACAAATGTGTATGTGTGTATATGTATGGTGAGAAAATAATTAATAATAATCTAAAATATATATATATAAAATAATCTTTCTACAATTTCTAATAAATCTCCTGTATGTTATTATCTTGAGATAATGTTTCGTCAAGATCGAGTAATTTTTACAAATAAGAATGAACAACTATTTATTTTAATTCAAACAAGTGACCTACTCTCTATTGGTGCTTACAAAGTTAATAGATGATTTTCTATATGTTTTCTTCCTATTTCTACACACGCTTCACATCTTTGTATCATAGAGTTCTTTTAAAAATTCCCGGCAAAAGGAAGAGACCCAATAACAGGAAGTAGAGAGCTTCAATTCAATTCAATTCAATAGATGGCTCTGGGCGTGTACCGCTCCAACGCCACTCTCAAGTAGAGAGCTTCATAGGAAGAGAGTGGCTGCGTTCAGCAGAACAAAGTGATCAGTGAGCGCTTAGTGATTCTCGCTCCTGATTGGTAAATACTTCTGGGTCTATGAAAAATCTAAAAGAATGCTCCAATCACAGACAATAATCACTAAGCGCTCACTGATCATTTTGTTCTACTGAACGCAGCCAGTGGCAAACTGATCTCATGACCAGGTCTCTGCCGATTCGATGGAGGCACACAGTCTTCTTAACCAATCAGAATATCGATATAGCAAGACGATAGTTGATTTTACAGTGAGTTTTTAAAGCAGTCTGACGTATATCTGTCAATCATTAGAGGAGGTTACGACGAGTCGCACAAAATATTCACCTACGAATTAATAACAGCAATAAGAATCAGATATTCGTAAGTAATAAGTATTAATTGTGAAAGAATATTTGTCGCTTCGATTTACATAGAATAAGAATCGTAATATATATTATTTATATAATTTTGTGTCTTGTGCATAATATAAAATGCTTAGACTGTTTTTAAAACTCACTGTAAAACCAACCTGTCGTCTTGCTATATCGATATTCTGATTGGTCAAGAAGACATTGGCTGCATTCAGCAGATTCAACAGTTGGATAACATTACTAGATTTTCCACTGAATCTCGCTCCTAATTGGTAAATACTTCTGGGTCTATGAAGAATCTAAAAGAATGCTTCAATCACAGACAATAATCACTAAGTGCTCTCTGATCACTTTGTTCTACTGAACGCGGCCTTTGTGTCTCCATCGAATCAGCAGAGACCTGGTCACGTGATCAGTTTGCCACTCTCTTCTTATGAGGCTCTCTAAGGCCCCTTGCACAATGCCAGTTAACAAGCAATAAGAATAAAAATAGACCAATCACAATCGACTATTACAAGAATAATCTATTGTGATTGGTGTATTTTTATTCTTATTGCCTGTTGCCTGGCATTGTGCAAAGGGCTTAACAGGTGGTCTGTTCTTTGTAGCTGTACTATACCGCGATTCTGTAACTCGTTATTGGAGTTAACGACACTTTCGTTATCGTTGCGCAGCTTTTGTATACCGTAGAAAAGCTGCGCAACAATAACGAAACTGTCGTTAACTCCAATAACGAGTTACAGAATCGCGGTACTGCTGAACTGATGCAATAAGCTAGAGTGAGAAAACCTATATATTTGTCTCACTTTAACTTATTGCACCAGTTCAACAGTGCAGCTACAAAGAACAGACCAAGGAAGTGCAGATAATTCGAAGAAAAGTTTTGTTTCGAAATCTGTTTCAGAAACTTTGATTTTAGTTATAAAGCTGGTAAATTTTAAACTTATACCCATTTCTATCAATTGTGGTTAACTTAACCGGTTATCTGGTTATTCCATCGAAATTGACCAATCGCATTTGTCAATTCTGATTAATAACAGATGTGATTGGTTAATTCCGTTGTAATAACTAGCCGGTTAAGTTAGTAGAAACAGACATTAGATATGTTCGGCAATTGATCAATTGATCACGCTTTGACGTTCACAGCCATGTATACTATTTTTGTTTGCAAACTTAATTTTAATTATTAATTTTGTAATATTAAATAGAGAAAGGAATACAATTTTTTTACTTATTGATAATTGATCAGATGATCAATTACGGAACGTTAGTTAGTTAAGGCCTACCAACCTTGTAACTAAAACCAAAGTTCCGAAACCGATTTCGGAACAGACCTACCTAAGGAACGTGAGAAAAAAAGAAATTATTTCCTCGCGAAAAGTTCCATGAGATGTCGTCAGCGCGTATGATTTATTTATAAAATCGCTGAACGGTCCTATGACCGCCGTGTCGCACTTTGAACTGATTCGAGTACCGTACGCTCGCGAGAGAACTCAGATTGCCGGCAGAGTTTCCACTTCGCTTTGCATCCTCGCGAAAGAGTACGTAGAGGTAAAAGCACTATTAATAGCACTCAACACTGAATAAAGTCACCGCGAGTAATCTGCAACGCAAAGTCCAACGTAACAACGTCCGCCGACAACGAAGGAACATAAATTGTGATCGTCGCTGAAGATACGTTCGGTAAATTCTCCCTTTGATCGGCATTCGTCGATGATTGATAGCTATATCAAAATACCATTCTACGATTCTACGTTGTTTTAACAAGAGATAATTGTCGGTTCGTGCGAAGTCGATGGGTCGTGAGTCATAACGGTGCATTCTTCGCTGAATATCGTGACGAGAATTTATTCTTGCGCGTCGTATCGGAGTAACTCTAGAATTTGACCGGTTGACAGTTGATACGTAGAGACACGTAAAGATTATTACGATATCTACAAATATTTCGATAACTGATAAATTGGCCGGTTAAATCATCGCGACTTTTTTTCTTAAATTGCGTGTACGTTTGTATATACGTTACGATGACACTACATTACGTTATAATAGTTTCAGAATCGCGTGTCATTCTCGATTCTATTATTACAGATCTCCACGTACTCGCAAGAGAAAAAAAGGAGTGGTGTAACTTTTCCATTGAGAGGCGGTGTTTTTGTGCTCGTATTCGGCATTACTGTCATTTTGTTGGACTCTCTTATCATACTAGGTATTGGATTGGATAATTACATTGGAATACAGATGTAAAAAATTACTTTGTTGAATTAGTAGTTTTTGACCTTGTTTCTGTTTATCCTGTTTAATCAAGTTTCAGTCCATGATCCTTAATATCTAATACCTAGTTTGATATGTATGTTTTGCAAACTTTTCTATTAAAAACTCATATAAAAGTTTGCATATAAGTAGAAAGTATTATACATGAGAATGGAATAAAATGGGACAAAAGTTATATAACAAAAATAAATTTAATGAATATCTAATTTGTAAAGTATTAAAAAATATGATTACATGACTACTTGTATTTTATTATTTTTAGATATTTCTATACCAAGACGTAATAAGAAGATACAAAGATGAGTTTGCAGTGGACACTGATTGCTGGTTTCCTTTATACAGAAATTATAATAGTTCTTATGCTAGTATTACCAGTAGCTTCTCCAACAAGATGGCAGAGGCTCTTCAAGTCTAGGTTCTTGCAAAGCTTAAGCAGTCGGGCTTCCTTTTATTTTGTAATCTTGCTTGGTGTTTTGGTACTCTTCCTGTTGGATGCTATACGAGAGATGAGAAAATATTCTGCGAGTTTGAATCATTCTGATCATCATCATCAGTTGAATCTTGAGATGCAAGGTAAATTATTTAGTATTAACCTTTTCTGTTGTATATGTAGTGGTATGCTATTGTCAATTGCAATAATCATGTCTGCTAATATCTACCTTGATGTGTTACAGAAAACATGCGATTATTCCGTGCACAGAGAAATTTCTATATTTCTGGTTTTGCATTGTTTCTCAGTTTGGTGATACGTCGTCTTGTCCTTTTGATATCTATTCAGGCTAGCTTACTTGCACAAAATGAAGCAGCCATGCGACAAGCTCAATCTGCGACCACCACAGCTCGAAGTTTATTATCCCAGAGGACGATTGGGGAAAGTGCACAGAATGACTCTAATGAAGCACATGACAAAGCTGTTTCAGAATTGAAGAACCAGATTAAGGAGTTGCAAGCTAAGAATCTTGAGCTTGAAAATGATTTAATTAAAGAAAGGAAGGATAAAGAAGCAATGAAGTCGCAGGCGGACTCACTCGCGAAAGAATACGACCGTTTGAACAATGAGCATGCGAAAATCGCGCAATCGAGCGGCGATAAAAAGAGCGATTGAATATTTTTTCTTGGTTCATTTTTTGATTTTAATTGTTTTGCCCATAAATCCTAATTAAGGTTTCATTATGTTATATTGAGTTTGGTGTTCCATAATTTTAATACATACTTCGAGAGGTATCATTAAAATAATTTTTACTAAAGAGAGGGAGGGTTGTATATAAGTACTATTATTGCTAATATTAAAAAACCATGCTTTTGAAATTCAGTACACATCTTATACATAAGAAGTTTGCATTATTATTTTTCTTTCTGTAATATTGTTATATTTAAGTGAACTTTATATTTTTAAGGAAAAGGAACATTTTGAGTACTTAGTACAGTTTCATAAGCATATTTGAAAGACAGGTGGTACAAATCTTGATGACAGTGAAATATGTCATTCATAACTGTTTTATATTACAAGAGAATTTTGTTGGATTTTCATTATTACCGATTATTACGCATTCGATAAGGATATTTATAATGTACGATCAAAATTATTTATTTTCCACGCGTCTTAGATAACGCATATACTTCCAAGTCTACATTTGGATTATTCTCATTTTGTGTTTGTGCACCGTTGAGAAGAAAAAGCTAATGTTCATTGCTTCAATTTTCAATTTAGAAGTATTGAGATTTATAGAAACAAAAACAACATGTGTTAGCTACATTAATGAATCAACATCTTAATGATTAAAGAACGAGACTTCTGATTGAGCTCAGGGAATTTTTCGATTTTGGAACGCTAAATTCTAGAACTTCTATAAGCGAAAAACATCGAAGAAATGAACATTGGTTCTATTTTTCTCTCTCTCTCTCTCTCTCTCTCTCTTACAGATTCGTCAAAAATATTGCGAAATTATATTATAGGATGTATGTGTACTTTCTATAATGCTGTGCTATATTGTAGGCCTTTGCTCAGGTTAAGCATCCCAGGTTATGCTGTATATACTTGGAATTATAAATAGAAATGTACTGAGAACCACAAAAGAACGAATTATTCAGAAAAACTCAACATACACGTTTTCCTCTATAATTAATAATGGCTGCGTTCAGTAGAACAAAATGATCAGTGAGCGCTTAGTGATTATTGTCTGTGATTGGAGCATTCTTTTAGATTCTTCATAGACCCAGAAGTATTTACCAATCAGGAGCGAGAATCACTAAGCGCTCACTGATCACTTTGTTCTGCTGAACGCAGCCATTCTCTCGCTTAGCTCCGGACAATTTTCGCGTCCGTGAGTAGAATAGAAAAGAAGGAACTTTGGTGTATTTGATGGTATTTATTTTTCAAATGTAACGATAATTATTTTATTATAAATCGCAATATATATTAAACCATTTTTTTTACATTTTTCTTATAAATTTTTTCTTGCATCATACTACTTCTCATCAGTAATTCTGTTGAGAATAAAATATCCATTTTCAACTCTTTACACCTTACTTTTTAATTTATTATTATCGACTAAATGTCCTTTGAAGAATCCATTGAATGTGTGACATATTACGAACGTGCTTCGATTGCATGTGTGTAATGCACATTCCAGACACAATTTGAGAACTCTTCTACTAAATTCGAACACGCAAGTGTTTCCTTGGGATGGCTCTGGAAACACTTCAGAACTTTATTGCTGTTCTCTAGGCATGGTTGTACTGTACCTTGAGTGCCGGTAATATTTTGTCCTATAATAATATTTATTTATATTTCCCTCTATAGCAATATATTTTGTATTTCAATTTGTATAAATTTGGTAGATAAAAGTGTTAATTTCTATATATATGTAGTATTGTGATTTATATCCTTTTCTGCTTCATCTTGGAATTATACTTAATAAATATATATATATATGTATAAACAATTTCAGTTAGATTAAATAATCATTAAATCATATAATATAAATCTGTAAATTATATGTGGAATTAATTTTATCTATATCTCTAATGTATCTTAGCTAGCAATGTTGAGAAAAATATGATCTTAACATTGATAAAATTATATTTGTTATATATAATATTAACTCTTGTTGATATGTATTATATATAAAGATACATAAATAATGAGAACTCTATGTAGAAGATATTAAACTATTAAATTGTATTGAAACTCACCAGCTTTAGTAGAAACTTCAGCCGTGGCTTTTTGGTATTCTTCTGCAAAGATGCGGTTGATCTTTTGATAAGAATCATCTATATTCCGTAAGCGCTTACGCCAATATTGTTCTTGCTGTTTTAACTCTTGTTCCTTCTGTTGATGTACTTGATGAGCTGACATTGTTAATTCAGGATAATAGTACACTTGGTGTCCAGACGTCGCGTTCGCAGGTAGAACTGTCGCTGCAGAAGATGTTATATGTTGAGCCGGCGTTGTAGGTTCTGCGTTCACAGGAGGTTCGTTAGCTTTCGCTTTCTCTCCCTGAGCGATACGTTGTACAAGCGAGTTGGACACCTTAATCACGCCGATTTCTTCTTCATTTGTGATGGTTAATTTGCGAGCACTTTGGCCAGAGCCCATCTTCAGGGGGTCCTAATAAAATCGTGATAACCTCATAATTTCAAATGTTTTCAGATGCTTACGCTTTGATCACTATAAAAATCTTTCTACATAATGTTGATAATGATATGTAATAATATATAACTCGCGATATATTGCTTACCCGTTAAATTTGGTAAAAATATCTTCGATGGCTGTTTTTATAAATCAGTCCTACGAAAGCAAAGTTACGTGAACATTTCGAAGCCCATGACTCTACTCACTCACTGATCTCTATATGCAATGTGCCAAGTGGCTATATTTTAATATTCACTGCCTATACTGGAAGTATATAGTATATATAAAGTCAGCGGCACACGGTGCTTATTTTCACTGCTGGATTTCTTGCTGGATGAAAATACTGCGTTCTGATTGGTATATTTCCGAAGATGGATGGAAATGCACCAATCAGAATGCAGTATTTTCATCCAGCAAGCAATCCAGCACGAAAACAAGCACCGTGTGTCGCTGGCTTAAGAAGAGAGAGAGAGAGAGAGAGAGAGAGAGGTTTCTCAAGCACGAGGTTAGCTCTTTATTTTATTAGGTTAGTTTCTGTACCATTTTGAATGAGGTAGAGCGTATATAAAATTTGTTCTTAATTAAATCAACAAAATGGAGTATATTACAGTTCATAATGCGGAGGAAGAAAAAGCGATAATGTACGTACTTATTCACATATCTATGTATAATAGAATCAAAGTGATTTTTTAAATAAAAAATTTATTTTGTTTGCAGCTTATGTTGTGAATGTGGAACACCAATTGAGCCAAATCCTGCCAACATGTGTGTAGGATGTTTACGTACTCATGTTGACATTACAGAGGGTATCCCAAAACAAGCAACTTTACATTTCTGTAAAGGCTGCGAAAGGTACGTTATTTTTGAAAATAATCAAGAACTAACATTTGTGTTACAAAATGATAGGTTAATTGAATTGATGTTATCTTTACATAATAGATATCTTCAACCACCTGTTGAATGGATTCATGCTCCATTGGAATCAAAAGAACTCATGTCAATATGTCTGAAAAAGTTAAAGGGACTAAACCGTGTAAAGTTGGTAGATGCCAGTTTTGTATGGACAGAGCCACATTCCAAAAGATTAAAAGTAAATTTTGCACAGTAATTTATTTAAAATTACATGAAAAAATTGTATTTGAGCAGTTAATAATTTGTAAGATTTTTATTGATATTCACTCAAGATAATTGTTAATATAATGTATAGATATTTAATAATATTTATGAAAGAATATATATATATACTGTTAAAACATGTTTTTATATTTTAATTGTTAACTAGCAATATAATATAATTGTATTATATCTAACAATTAGGTAAAGCTGACTGTCCATGGGGAAGCAATTGGAGGTGTGGTTTTACAGCAAGTATTTGTGGTAGAATATATTGTGAATCATCAAATGTGCGATGACTGCCACCGTGCAGAGGCTAAAGATTATTGGCGTGCATCTGTAAGCTCTTGTACTTTGATACTAGAGAGAAAATTTGAAGAATATATAATTTAAAGAAATTTCAAATATACTAAGTTTATCAATCTCCACAGGTGCAAGTTCGGCAAAAGGCTATAAACAAGAAAACTTTTTTCTACTTAGAACAACTCATATTAAAACATAAAGCACATGAGCAAACACTTGGTATAAAGCCCATTCATGGTAAATATTGTATTATCAGTAGATAGTAGATACTATAGATTATATATTAAATAAATAATATTAAAATTTCACTTCTTTCATGTAATATTAATAGAGGGTCTAGATTTTTTCTATGCAAATGAAGCCACAGCTAGAAAAATGGTTGATTTTCTACAAACAGTCATACCATGCCGTTACCAGCACTCAAAAAAATTGATATCACATGATATTCATAGTAACATATACAATTACAAATTTACATATAGGCAAGTATTTGTTATTATATAAATAAATATACACTGACGACCTCAATTCATGTTTTTATTACATCAAACAGCGTTGAAATCGTTCCTGTCTCCAAGGATAGTGTAGTCTGCCTGCCACGAAAATTAACTCAACAGTTAGGTGGAATCACTCCCATTTGTTTGGTATATAAAATTACAAATTCTGTGCATCTTATAGACGTTTCATCGGGACAAAGTAAGTCACGATACTCTAATTTCGATATTAATAGCAGAATTAATTTGACCGATCTTATATATTTTCGAATTATTACTTCCCTGATCTAGTTGCTGAAGTTAGTGCAACTGTCTACTGGAGACATAGTTTCAAGAGTATATGCAATCCGAAACAATTAACGGAATACATCGTGATGGATATTGAGCTGATAAAACACGAAGACAAAAAGATTTTTCCAGGACAAGGATCCATCTCTAATAAAGTAAATTTTTGTTCTATACATCTGTTGAGGATATTTCAATTACATGTATATATACAAATAATGATTTTAGCACGTCATAGCGGATGTATGGCTGGTGAAAGCATCGGAATTAGGAATAAACGATAACTCAACTCACGCACGTACACATTTAGGGCATGTACTTAAACCCGGCGATTCAGTCCTTGGGTAAGTTTATGTAAAATAGTATCTTAGAACATGATTGGAAATACTTTACATTGATACAGTGTAACAAATATTTCACAGAGATATATGTGATTAATCTATTATTTTTTGCACTTATCTGCTATAGATACACCTTGAAAGATAGCAATATTAACGATGCTAACTTCGACAAGCTGAATGGAGATACAATACCTGATATCATTTTGGTGAAGAAATTTTACGGTTACGATAAAGCTGCTCGTCGCAGAGCAAGAGTTTGGAAGTTGAAACATATTGCCGACGAAGTAGTTAGCATGAGTACCGAAAATAAGTAAGAAATGACAAGAAATTTTACGACAAATATTGCGTATTATAACATATCATACAAAATATAACAATTATATTTTTTCACAGCGAATATAATGAATTTCTGGATGAATTGGAAGAAGATCCGGAACTGAGGCAGAACATCAACATATTTAGAGACCCGAGGAAACAGATTCCTGTTGATACTAACGAGATAGACCCGAGCATTCCACAAATTACACTCGAGGAAATGCTCGACGATCTTGTACTTGAGGATGTTGAAATGTCCGAAGTTTAATAAATATATATATCTTATAAAATAATTTGTTGTATTCTCTAAGAAATACAAATTGTTCGAAAAAATATCTTAAAGGCATGATCTTTTAAAACGTATTTTAACAAGTGTACGACTTATTATACTTATCTATCTGTTTATCTATCTGTTCATTCAATTATCTGATAACTATTATTAAGTTTTCTTCTAACAGTGATAAATCTAGTTTGATTGTATGACAATTCGTTATTAATATAAATGATAAGAGAGAAACCAATCGTCTATACTTGAGCAATAGTCTCTTCCTCTCTTTTTTTACTATGTAAGAATAGACTATGCAGTTGGAGAATATTACTATGATTTTTGTCTACTTATCCCCTTATAAAATTATTCACTTAAATATATCTATAATTTAAGAATTTTTCTTTATATGTACAAAATATTAAAAAAATTTACTCCAAGATATTTTAAATCTGAGATTAGAAGTATGTAGTGCTCATAGAAAAATGGTAAAAATAGATCTTTAATGAAAACAAATTATAAATTTTCAGAGATAAAATGGTGGTAATTTTAATAACACAGATAATGCAGGTCAATTCCTTGCATTATTTCATTAATTTATAATCTTTAATAAATAATCTGTTTTTTTTATATTTTATAGATATATAAAAATAAGATCATTAAAAATATATATAGACGTACATATCTATTTTCTTTGTCTTATCAAAAACCACAGCAGTGGTTTGTGCCAAGGCTTGCTGTACATTGTAATATATATGTATGTATTGTAAACTTAATATTTCATTAGATATCTTAAACTTTAAATAATTATATTTACATAATTAACTATAGTTATATTTATATAAAATTATTTGAAATTTAAAGTATCTAATAAAAAATATTCAGTTTGCGGTTAATATTAATCTTATCACCTTAATAATCTTATCACTGAGCTTATTGAGCTACTTGAACAATTTGCTCTTAATAAAGGTTTATCACACAGAAACATATCAATATCTCTTGAAAAGAGTGATAAGAAAAGTGGGGAATGTGTAAACAGATATTAACGTTTGATGTGATACTACAATGATTTGCGCTGCTGGTGTGGATCGGACGGTTTATCACAACATGCAGCTCTATAAGATATTATTATTAGTTGCAGGTGTACTATTTGCAAGTAGTAATGGGCTTTTTAATACAGGTATGATAGATAATGTTCATATAATAGTTTATACTCTATTAGTGTTTTTATTTCAATAGTTTTTATAATATATAGGTAATACCTATGCATATAAAGAAGATATAAAGTCTATCGAAATTTGTATAGTCGCATAATGTACAAGGAAATCGACTAGTCACATGTCACATTTTTGTCTATGTGTAAAGAATATTTTTTTACTACGTAGATCATGATTGTTTATGATTCTTTATATATATTTGCCTTTTACGATTATGCAAGTTTATTTGGACGAACTTTTAAAAAAATACTTTTATGTGAGTTTATGTCGAGCTTAGTATATGCTTGTGATTCATCTCATATCTCACGATAATACAGTTTTGTGTAAAACTAGTTACAACGAATATATATGTGTGATGTATTATTTTAATATATAAGAGATGCTTTTATCGAAAACATTAACAAAGAAAAAGTGGTGTCGTAATATTTATCATTGAAAAGATAATTATATTAATATTATCAGTTGTCCTTATTCACCTATCGGAATTGTGCAACTTTGACATCAAGATAAAAAAAGATATCTATTCTAGAACCTATAAATAACGTATACAATAGAGATTTCTAAAATAAATTTCCAATAAATTTACGGTAAAGTAATTATTTGTAATTACTAAAAGCATTGTACGCTTTTCAATTAATATCGAGTGATGTTGCGTTCATGTTTTATATTTTTACAGACAAAGCGATAGAATCTTTTTCGACTGCAATTGAACAATGGATAAACACAAAAGAAGAGTCTCCGTCGTTTCTGTCCTACATTAATACATTAGCTCTCCCAATTAGCTTACGAGGTCAAGATTGGCGTAGTTTCACCGGTGAAAGAAGCCAATTTATGTGTACAATATGCCAATCTGTCATAGACACTTACATAAAGTATCGTAAGCAAGGAAAACCAGAGGATCAGATTAAATCTGAAGTGACCAAACTCTGTGTTCGATTAAATATTGAATCTGAACAAGTCTGTGCTGGCGCGATAACTCTCAATTTGGTAAGTTATGTTCTTACAATATGTATAGATAGTATACCAGATAAAAATGTAAAAACGAAGATTTATGTTAGCTGATGTCGTAGGCATTATAGGACATGAACAAAAAGTTAACAGACAATAATTAACTTTTATGAAACTTTTATGAAATGAATATAGAGTTACTGCGTTGTTATCTATAACACTTGTAACATCACTACTTACATGCGATATTGTCCGGTATTGTCTGAATTACGTTTTTATTTGCAGCCAACGATTTTATATATCATAGATACAAAGCAGAACCTAACAGCATCCACAATCTGTGGAGTCGTATTTGAATCACAATCTTGTCCATTAATTGATGACGAATACAAATGGACAGTTAAGATCGACAACAATCCTGGAAAATCGGTCTCTGAGAAGAAGAATAACGAGACTATAAATATCGTGCAAATAACAGATCTTCATTACGATCCTAAGTATGAGCCTGACGGCAACTCGAAGTGTGGAAAACCGGCGTGTTGCCGTAAGGGACAGAACGATACAAATGTGAATGATGAATTGGCCGGTTTCTGGGGAGATTACAATAGCTGCGATACTCCATGGCATGCCGTTGTCGATGCGCTGTATCACATAAAAGATACACACAAGGTAAGTAACTTATGATCATCCTGTTCACATTTATATAATTCTTCAAAAATGTGTCGTTACTTTGAGCATCAATTTATAGGATATCTCCTACGTTTATTTTACCGGTGATCTAATAGATCATGGCGTTTGGGAAACGACTTTGGACGGAAATATAAAAATTATTAACGAAAGTTACGATTTATTTTACGAAGTATTTGGAAATACATCCGTATATCCTATTTTGGGTAACCACGAGCCGCAACCTTTAAATCTGTAAGTTATTCGCTATCATCTACGCGCGAGTACTCTTCTTTTTAATCAGTATCTATTTGGTTTAGCATCTTGGCGAATAATTCATTCGTGAAATTTAGATACGCTCCTACAACTGTTACTAATGACAAATTAAGCACGCAATGGCTGTACAATATGATAGCTGATATATGGATCGGTTATGGATGGTTACCAGAATCTACTCGTTCTACTATTCTGCGGGGTGGATACTACACAGTTTCACCTAAAAAAGGATTCAGAATTATAGCTCTGAACAATAATGTATGTTATTGTTATAATTGGTAAGTGGCATAAGACAACTGCTATGTTATGTACAATAATACTAATCCTTCTTCTAACCACATTATTATATATAATTTTTTCATTCTTTTCTTCTTCTTTCTGTTTTTATTTTTAAAAGCGTATATGCATAGATACTCTTTTTTTATCTTAAACATAACTTAAAAACTTACCATCTTGTACAATTTAACATTGAAACACTTTTTTAGGTGGATATGGTATCAGCCAAAAGATCCTGATAACCAGTTACAGTGGTTAGCAGAAACGCTTTTGCAGGCTGAAAAGGATGAAGAGCTTGTACATATATTAGCGCATGTTCCACCTGCCCATGAGCATTGTCAAAGTACATGGAAAAGAGAATATCTTAAAATCATTAACAGATTCGCTCACGTAATTAGAGCGCAATTTAATGGTCATACGCACAACGATGAGGTGGAATTGCTTTACGGTAATGAAAACAAAGTCAAGAATGTTGCTTGGAATGGAGGCAGTGTAACTACTTACACCGAATTAAATCCCAATTATAAGCTATACATTGTCGACAATCAAAATTATGTGAGTGTCGTTTCATTCAAATACATACAATTTAAACTTACAAATGCTACGTATATACGAGGATTTTATTAACATATAAACATATAATCTCTGTTAACTCTTACAGAAAGTAAAAGATTATGAAAACTGGATATATAATTTAACATTGGCGAATAATGATCCTAACGATCGACCTCAATGGTATAAGTCATATTCATTTAAAGAAGAGTATAATATTTCCGATTTGACTTATGATTCGTTGAAGGATTGGTTCGACAGACTATCGCATGATAACGATCTGCTTAACCGTTATTATGGGTAATGTATAGAGATTTATGAGATATTTGCTGAATATATTTTGTCTCTTACCAATAACTTATGATTCATAATAATTTATTCAGGCATTTCTTCAAACTTGCTGAACCGTCATTGAGGAAAGAGTGTGATATAGAGTGCAAGAAGACTGTCATAAACCGTATAACTGCAAGCCTGGGAGATAAAACTAGTGATTAGATATTAATACTAGTGACCTAAAAATGGTCACGTGAATAGTCAGTTTTACTTTACGAGAAAATTGTGATATAATATGACATTTGTATATAAAAATATTTGTAAAAAAAATAATAAAAATTACACTATGAAAATCTAATATGTTCTATATTTATTACTACATTTTTTACAATTGTTTACTATTAATAGAACCATTCTTTTAACAAACAAGTATATGCATTTCAAAATGTCTTTTATATGGTTCTATCCACTATAATAGTTATCGATGTTTACATAAACTTTTTATATCTACTAATTTAAATACAGGCTTACGAAAAAAATCTTGTGACGGTATGTTGTCAAGTAAAGAGACCTGAAAAGTTAAGTTAAAATTGAATTACAAATGAATGAGAAATTATTTTGTTAAGTACAGTTGTAAGAATTGTTGCAGAACACACTGATTTACACCAACAATGGAATAAAATATTAAATGTTTTTGCGCATTACTAAAATATAAAACTCACTTGTATCCTAACATAAGTGAGAAGTAATTCAATATGCTCTGGGTTATTGCATTCAAGGCAAAAGAATCTTCTCCAAAGTGCTCCTGCTAATACTTTGTCATCAGATAGTATACCTTCATCGTAACCTATTATAGCAGCATTAAATTGATCCGATATTTCTTTTATTTGTTTGTTTTTAATATTACTACTTATTGTCTGCAATAATAATAATTATATTCAGTAAAAAGCAATTAATGAAGAATCATGATAAATATATTATGCACATACACGCATACACATACACATACACACACACACACACACACATATACAAACATATTTGAGATATCAAAAGGAGAAGGAAATGACAATAAATACTGTAAAGTTTTCTATTGAAAGTATAATATTACTTACACCAAGTTTTTCTGTTCTGGCTTTTGTGTCATCCCACATTGCGGTTACTATTTCATTTCTCATGAATTGTCCATTCTTTTTTTCCGCCATGTAACGAACCATTAACATCCATACATGAAGTTCTGTTACCAAGAACCATGAGTACAATGTATCTGGCATGTTAAAATCTGTCAAAAAGAAGTTTAAAACATATATTGGAAAATTATAATTATATTATAGTTATCTCTTTTAATATGTAAATTTTATAAAGCATTGACTCTTTTAAGTGTTATGTCCAAATTATGTGTAAATGTTTATAATTTTATTATAATAGATTGATTAAAACATTCCTTCGAATTTTTCAATAAAGATAAATATCTCATTATAATAGATAAAAAGACTTACGTTCGTAAAAAAAATTATAATCTACTTGACGCAACATATGTTCGTATGTGAAACAAGCAATTACCATGTTTCTCTGTAATTAATATTTTAACATCAATGCAGTGTAAATATTTTTATCACTATAAAGAAATGTATTATACAGAATATACATTTAACTACAAATATAAAAGTATGTCCTTTTACTTTAATATTAAATTAATATAATATAATAATATACAAATTTTTAATTACATATTTTTGTAGATCTAGAAAACCAATCTTTTTTAACATCTTCTTTATATATCCCATTTGTTTTACATTCGAAACTACAGGTGCAGCCGCTGGAGGCGAATTATTGTAATGTGCAGATGTCATGTGGATATTTTTAAAATTTAATAGCTGCTTTGTAGAAATTATTGGTAACAGCCGAGGAGTATTAAAAATTCCATGAGTTTGAAGTGTTCTTTGCATTGATGATAACATCGTATTCTAAAATACATATTACCAGTGAGTGTAGGTTACGTATAAAATTATAAGATATAGTTTGAAATAATCTTATGTTAAGAATCATAAATATATAAAAAAAAAAAATACACTAAAGTGTATTTTAAAGTGTAATATGGTGTAAAAATATACCATATTATCGAGGTTATATTACCGAATAACTCAATGAACAAGTACCTTTAACGAAGTAACGATCCGAGTACATTGCGTGAAGAACATTTTTACATAAATATCCTACCTATACTTACTAACATGAGGAACATTTCATAATACAAAGTGGAAACGAATGTATTAGGTGTGCAGACATAACTAAGGTGCTGCCCATCCAACTTTTGCCAAACGGTAAACGCAAGAAGCTGCATAGAAAATGGAGGTCATCAAATAATGGGTTCGTGTATGCGTGTGTCCAAATTTAAGTAAGATTTCTTCGTTATTCGTCTACGGAATCACACATCGTCGTTCGAACCCGTTAAAGCTATTTACATTCTTATGAAATCGATTAATATTCGAGAAATGAACGTTGATTTTGATGGTGTAAAATGAAGGAGAGACGTGCTTGTTAATCTCACCCTTAGAATATGTTAACCGGGAAGAATATTTTATTTCTCTGGATTTTTCTAAATGTTAGATGACCATATGCGTTTTACATGCGGAATTGTACCGTTGATGATTGTTTTCATAGGTGTAATAATTTATGGATTAATCTAGGTAGGCTTTTTATTACTATATATTCTCTATAAATTGTGCGATCTAAATTCACTGCATTTGATGAAAGTGTCGGGGATCATAGTAGAAATATTTCCTTTATTCTTTAGCAAAAATATCTTTTTTGAGTGATATAAATATATGGTTGTTAATACATGTACATATATATATATATAACTAAAAATATATCAATGTATTACACAATTAACAGTATGGATAATTTATGTATAGATATTGTTAGAAATAATTGAATGTTATCTGATAATCAACTTTATTTACATACATCAATAATTTCTTAACAGTATTTTTTAATCAAATATACATCACAGAAAAGACTTCAAGTTACAAACATAAGGATCCTTCAGAGACTTTGGGAATTCCATGCACATGTTGAAGCATACCATGGCTTTAGAGAAAACAAAATCTGTGCAAGTAGGGACCAAAAATAAAAAGAAAAATGAAAAATTTGGGAAAGTAAAACTTCCTAGGAGAGATATAAATAGTACAATTAATCCTGATTTATCCAACTTGCGTAAACCAATTGATACAAGTGTATCTACTTTGTACCATATTAGTAAGCTGCTTGAAGATGCTACAGAGGAGGTTAAATCTATATTATCTTATGAATGTGACATTATTTATGAATGTCGTATTTGCCGCAGCTTATTTAGAAGTATTGCTAATTTTGTATCTCATAAAAGAGAATATTGTAAAGAAAAGTTTAATATTACACTTCATAGAAATATGTGGGATGATCTCAATACAGTAAGCAGAATATAGTTGCTTTTATTCTCACTATAATTCACCTTAATTATAAATATATTCTTTTTTTCAGATTTCTGCCTTTGGTTCAGTAATTCATACATGTCAGACAAAAGAAACAGTAATTAAAAATAACCTTACAAATGATAGGATACTTAGAAGTCAAGTATCCAAAGAAACACATAAAAGAGACCTCACTGCAGTAGTAGATAAGCTTCTTAAAAAACAAGAAGAAAATATGAGAAATAACTTCTATAGTAAATCAGACATTGAAAATATAATCACTCCCAAGGATCAACATATTTATTTAAAAGCTATAGATACAAATAGTTCTGCAGTATATCAAACTATTGAATCATCACAAGCAATAACTAATGTTACCGATTTGATAGCAAGAGAAGTAAGAATAATCTATTATTAAATCTATTATTAAATATAAATATTATTAAATATATTGAAAATACATCATGCACGATAATAACAAAATGACATTTCTTTGGTTTTCAGATGACAGAATCCCAAAGTGTGATGGATCGGAATAGTACTACATTAGAAAAAAGTGAATTAGAAAAGAATTATAATCCTATTCAAGCTGATACAAATAATAAAGATGATAAGATGCCAGCATATAAGTCATCAACAAATAGCTTAGTTTGCACTATATGTAAATCAACTTTATTTCTTATTTCTTTAACATTTAGCATTGATTTATTCGCAGTAGGTAGATAGGGAGGAGAGATAAAACTAATGAGATTATTAATGTCAAAAAATTAATCTAAAAGTTTTAACTTAATTTGATTTAATACAATTAAATTTAATAATTTTATTTGATTAAATTCGATAAGGTGATATTATTATTTGTAATGATAAGTGCCAAACTACTGGTTGTTGGCCCATGAAAGTTGTAATCAATACATTTTTCTGTGTGTTGTTTAATATAATATAATATATAATTAATATGATATAAATTAATTATAATTAATATAATTATAAAATATTCGGTATATCTGAAATATTTTTGTTTTACTGTGTAGGCAATACAAAGTTTTCAACAAAAAAAACGTTGACTTTCCATAGGAAAACACTGCACACATCCCAGCGTGTGTGCTATACCTGTCCTCGCTGTACAAATACATTTGCAAATACATGGAGTGTTCATCGACATTTATTCAAAGGTAAATTTCAATGCTGATATATCAGATGTATCATATGTGTTGTTTCTTCACTAAAGTTCAGTGCTATTCACAGATAATATTTCCCAGAGTACTTCTGAAAACATTTCGAATAATCTGTCATAATGATTTTCTCAATGTAGTTCACAAGTTGACTAACGAGCAAGTGCGTAAATTAAGATCTCAAATTGAAGAGATACCGTTCGATAGAGAAACAGCTGCGACGCAGTGCTTTAAGAAAGGTCGCCCAACTAGGACATCTGCTTCAGAAAAAATAAAGCATAATAGTCTGGCAAATAACGATAAAGAACAGGTAAATTGATTGCTCTTTGATGGTTTCTCATCACAATAGAATACATTCTATATAATCATTGCATTTTTGTATAGGAGAGAATATCCCATTCAGAATCCGATGTAAAAGATTTGAGCTGTAATGGATTCGAGGAAAAGGAAGTTTTGTCTGCCCATTCGCAGTATTATCAAGCACTGATCGCTGCGTACAGCGAAGTTAAATCCGAAATCAATCTGTCTGATAGAACTTCGTCAGATTTAATATTGAAGGACGACAATTATGAATTGAAAAATGAATTAAAAGACACCGATGCAACGACTGACACGAATATAAAGTCATCCACTAATGAAGATTCATCGAATACTAACTCCGATCGGACGTCATCGCCTTCCGACATAGCCATCTATGTGCAAGATGTTGCTACTCTTAGCAACGAAGATTGGGATATCTTAGAACACAATGATAATTATTTGTCGGACCGCAATTTGACAAATAATAATAATGTTCTTCCGACAATTTCACCACCGACAGTCCGTCAGAATATCGATGACGAGCCACCGGTACTTGAGCCTTACATTTCACAGCCTTCTGAAATTGTATCCCAAGATACAAAAGAAATGGACTTTATAGATTTAGAGATCAATCATGAAGAAGGCAATACGCTGAGTCCCAACGATGAAAAGCGAACAATTGATTTGAATGGTGAGTATCGTTCGAATGACTGTAATAAATTGTCGTTCACGGTAGGGAAACGTTTTAGACAAGCAGATTGTGTAGTGACGTGTATATCATATATATATTTCAACCAATTAATTTCTACATAGTAATTTATATGATTTCAGAGGAAGATATCATCGAAGTGCAACAGGATCGCTCTGAATCGCAACCTTCGCATTCGATGCAATCGGATGAGACAGAGCTGACTTTATCAATTAAGAATAAGATAGCCGCTATGACGAATTTTCAGAGATTACAGTGCCTTTTATGCAAACGAAAGTTTATATCCACAACTAGTCTACGTAGGCATATGGCGAATCATATTAAATGGTATCGGTATCGCTGTAAATTATGCGACTTCAAGTGCTTCTTCAAATGCGATTGCGTCGCGCATTGCAATAAGATGCATAACGCACAAAATAATCCAACACTTATAGCGGAGATGGTGGGCGAAATACCGCAGGATGAGTATACATGTAAGACATACGAGAATGTCATTATGGACTTGATGAATACAAGGAAGAAGTTGAACGACCTCGATGTCGTTGATAAAGTTGCGTCGTCCTCTCAGTCGGAAATTTGTGAAAACTTGAGCGATTCGAACGATGCGAATTCGCGTGCTGCTGTGCACAAGGAAGAAACTGCCACGACGAAGGAACGAATTACCGACTCGTGCGAAAGTGTTCAAGACAAAAATGTTTCTACGGAAGTTACTGGTGAAGACACGATGGTTTGTACGAATCTAGAGGAATACATGGCGAATCGTAGCCCAGGCAAATTAGACGTTCATCCTGATCTCAAGCGAATGGTAATGGAGGTGATACTTGGTTCCAACGATGCGAATAGCGCGGCCAAACAGGCAGATTCGGACAAGAGTGTATCAGATATTAGTAATGAGGCAGGTGGAGATACACAAATAAACGACAATGAAATTAGTACCGAGTCTATCGATAACACAACGGTAACATATTGTTCGGTCACGAGCGATTCCAAGCCTCAGCGTCCTGTACGCAAACGGATAAAACTCTTGTGCGAGGATTTCATCTACGACTTAGGGAACACGCAATTCCGAAAAGAATCCAGTAAGGGCTCGTCGTCGTTTCACATCGCCGGTAAATCGCCGACGAAACAGCATTTGAATTTGTGTGACTCTGATACTTTGACGAACGTGCGAAAGAAAGCTAAATTGTACAATAGAGCAGTTAATTCTAATTAATAATTTATATTGAGTAATAATAAATCGTCTTGTGACTTTTCGAAATGTCAACGTGTTATGTTGCGTATAATAACTAAAACTGCATATCAGTGATTCGTTGATTTAATAAAACAAAAAAAAATAAATAAAAATGGAAAATTAAAATATTCATGTGTTAGGAAAATGCAAAAATCAAATGGGATATATGTCATTCTATTTTTAAAGAAATAGAATTTTTAATTCTGATTAAAGAATCTGACGATGAAATACAATAATCGACGGAAAGCGATGTTGCATTATATCGTATATATTTTATTGATAAATTATACGGAGCGTTGTACGCGTGTATATAATTTGCCTTCAAACTCTCAGGTTAATTTTCTACTATCCGATTGAGTAAACCAAATGTATGAAGTAATCTATATATTATCTGTACGTTGAAGATCTGTATATTGAAATGTATTTTATTAAACACATGAATTAATATTCATACGCCTAAATTCGATTTGATCCAAAATTTACATTTGATTGAAAGTACATTGTTTCGTATTTCGTGTACATGTTTTGCTTCAAGAGCTCGAATTGAATTTCGATTGCTGTATGATTGAGAAACAAGCTGACCCGAAATTTAAATTCGATATTCGATTTTTAATATAAAGTATCGTTATATACTAACACGTATTTTCCAGAAAATCTTTGATTTAATTTAGAATTACAAGCGACCGATGATCGCTCGGTAATTACATTTGTATAACAAGATACTCGTACCAGATCGAGTGAATATTTTGCAATTAAAATTTCATTACATCTTTTCCTTCTAAATGAATATACAGACGCATGTCGTAAAGGGAAAAGAGGAGGGGAAAAAAGTCGGGAAGAAAAGGGAAGAGGAGAAAAAAACACCACGAGCACGAACGAACGGTATCGGCAAGATGCGCCACGCTACGCGCGCGTCAACCGAACACGCGGATTGGCCAGTGACCGGGTGGTGCACGTATCGTTGCATTGCGCGGCGCCCTTTCTGCGTCGCGTTGCACCGCGCCGCGATCCGAACCTGCCGCCGCTCGCTCGACTCGATTGAGCCGCGAACTGCGATTGCTCGTGGACGTTAGCAGACGCGCGGCAAACGGCGCCGAGCAAGTTGCTTTTATTCTCCCCGGCTGGGACACTGTGCTTTCGCGACGCGACGCGCCAGTCTAACCGTAAACGTGAATCTTTTACGAGCGCGTCCTCGTCATTGTCGTCGTTCTCCTCCTCATCATCGTAGTAGTAGCAGCGCGTTACTTCTTTCACTTCAGTGCTAAATTGTGTGTCCCGCTCAGCTACGTGTGTCTCTTGTGCAACACGAACGACCTTGCCCTCAGCCAGCTGCCGGAACGAGGAGCACATCCCAGGAACACATCGTAAACGTAAGTCGGAAAGATGAGAGTATGGGAATGAGAGAGGGCGAAGGAAGGAAAGAGAGAGGGAGAGAGAAAGAGAGCGGAGGAAAAAGAGTGCGTATATGCGATGAGGGTGAGAAAGAGAGGAAAAGGGGAGGACAATGGCTTGAGCTTCCCCACGATGAAGAGATAGATTCCAGACTCCCGCCCCGATAACTCTGACGAGTCCGAGTGTGTAGTTATTTACGTTGGCGACGTGACGAAACGAGACGAGACGAGACGAAACAACGGCGCAGCTTTTCGGGCAGCGTCGGGGAGCAAATGTACATCAACGGACGGAAGATGAAATCTCCCCGGTGTTGCGAGAGCCTGCCCCTCGTCCAGCCTCGCCTTCGTTCCCGACAGTTGTGTCTTATTCACGCGAGATGTGCAGCTCTTTCGCTCTCTCGTGCATGATAATCGCGCCGTATGTTGTCGCGGGGGATTCAGAATACGCACTCCGGATGCACAGCGAACGCTGAATGTGCCTTTCTACCTCCAAGTTCCGTTTTCCTCCGCACGAATGTACATAACGTGCAATGTCGTTTCGGCTTGAAATTGAAAAGGCATTTTAGCGATCGCTACATGCGCCCGGAAGAAAGTCCCTGCTTCGGAAACTGGACTCTCCGATACCGCTTGATATCGTCGTCGTCGATAACGTGTACCTAAGACACATCGCGACATCGTGATGTTTCGAGATTCGCTTTGTCGAGGTGTTTATCTCTCTCTTTTGCTCTCTCTCTCTCTCTCTCTCTCTCTTTCTCTCTTCTCTCTCCTCTTTGCCTCCCTCTCCTCCCTTCTCTCTCTCTCTCCCCCTCTGAACTCCCCGAACGCTGAGGTCGCAAGTTGGCAACACGAATGGAGCAGGCGCGAGTACCGTGTGTCTCACGAACGAAGCCCCCTGAAATTGATACTTCCGCGCAATCACGGCGACTCCTCCTCGAGCGATGGCTTATACGCAATTAATGCCTCGTACCACTTGTTGCTGTTACTACTACCTGTAGTTCATGACAGCGAATGCACTCGACCCAGAAGCGATCGCGGGGCTACCGCGGTTGCCGCCGCGACTGTCGGAGAGTGTCGCTTGGAGAACAATACCCGTGTAACGCGGAGTACGTACCCTATACACGCAACCATCGTCCATCGGTAATCATTATCTAGGACGAGAGACGGACAAGAGAGAGAGAGAGAGAGAGGAGGGGAGGGGGGAGAAGAATCGTATTCTCTCCTCTTGCCATCGTCGCGTCTGTCATCGGCGGTCTTATGTTACCGGCGAGGCGACATTCCGCGTGAACGGTGACACGTCGCGGCGAGAAGTCTCGAGTGCTCATGAGAACAACTGATTAACACGAGCTCGTTACGCCTACGAGAGGAGGCGTTTTGTTGCGAGAACGTTGGTCAACGATGGGCTTTCAGGACGCATCGAATCCTTTCGAAGTCCAGCGAAAGCGTCATCTCTCCTCTCGGCTTATCTCCGATGTTGCCCGAAAGCATCGAATTCCCAGGAGTCTCGCCCGCGACGTGTAACCCGAGCTGAAATGTTGGTGTTCTGTATTAATTAATACCGCAAGTTCTGTCGAACTTGTCGAGAGGACCAATGAGGAATCTCGAGATAGGATACTATGTATTACTCGTATATATATGTATACACAATTGGCATATCTTGATGCTGCAAATGGTTGCTCACTACCGCTTTCTCCATGCTGAAGACACTCGAAGATGCACTCGTCCCAGGATAATCACATTTGTGATATCTCATTTTTCATCATTTCATTGTTACTCGTAGCTTCGTTAGCAATGCATTAATATAAAACATAATTAAAATATAATTAAATATAATATAATAATAATAATATAATTGAATATAATAAAATTAAATATAATTAAATATAGCATAAAGTACTCAATTACAATTATGGAAATAAAGTACGCGAGACAGATAAATCTGAAGTAATTTAATAGAGATTAACAAAAAAGCTGTAACAAATGTTTACTCTCATGATCTTTTTTCTCCTTCTCTGGACTTTGGGAGTCTCGTTAGAATACGGAGTTCTTAAAAAAGTTGACAGTCTACGAAAAAACAGAGGTAATAGTTGTGTGTTCAACAATGCTGTTTAACAATTATCAAAATTCAACTTGAAAATCAGCAAACAGCCAACAGAATTTACATTAGATTCCAAGACCACTCATAGTTATGAATTATGTAGGATCTTTGGATCTATCGAGGGCCAACCGGCAGGAATGATAATTAACGTACTAACACACACACACACACACACACACGTATTTCGCGGTATGCGCGCCGTTCACCCGCTCGAAACTTAATGGAACTCCCGGAACAGTTCGCCATATGCGAGAATAAATTTGATCGCTTGCAAGATGCGGAACATTTTTTCCTTTAGGAGCGTCGACTGTTTAGATTGTTCAGCTACTTAGCGTAGTTTTTTTCATCTGTTTTTATACTATCGTGCATCGCGTGTTGAGCCGAGAAGAGTGCATATTGTGATACAAACACGTATATCGGTGCGACATTTACAATCGTGTGATTTAAATATATCGTGGGCTGTCGAAATATTTCCGATCGGATTCTCACGGACATCGCGTTGGTTTACACGTGTTTTCTTCGGTGTTTTTCCTAAGTTATAGCTAGTATCTTAGTTGAGCCTGTGACAAGAGCGAGAGAGTGGGGGTTAACGCGAAACAATGCCAAAAGAATAAAAATGTATCCCAAAAGTTGGCTTTTCGCTATGAGCTTACACGTTATAAATATTTCCCAACCGTTCGTATCTCTTCTCCTTAAACACAAAGCAAATTTAAAATAATTCGTACGGTCTATAAATAAACTATAAAATGTCTGGATTATCTGATACGAGCGAGACGCGATGAGTATATGGCCTCCGGCTATAAAGCATCGCCTGGTCGAGGAAAGATTTTTTTCTTCTTTTTTAGTTATTCAGACCTTCAACTGCGACAGCGACATAATTTTCGAAAAATTCGGCGTAGGCGGAAAAACGACTTTACTGACGCTCCTCTTTTTCGATCTGGGAGCCCACACATGTTTGTTTGTGTTGACATCCCGTCCAACAGGCGACATTCCAACGGACGTCCAAACACTCGAAATTCTTCGTCGAGACTTTTCTCGACGACTGTTTCTCTCCTTCCTTCTTGCGATTTCGAGTTATAGTTTTTGTATACACACATCTGTCGTGTTAATGTACGAATGTACTCCGGTTCCCGTTAGCAAGTGGCAAGTAAGAACGTCTCTTTCGACGGGCTCTCATCTCATCTCCGAGCTGAACGTGTAATCCACCATCGCCACGTACGCCGTCGAAATGTAAATATTCGAGACACGTTCTCGGCTCTAAGTGGAAGCGTCACGACCTAGAATAGCCGTAATTAACTTACGGCGTATGTCTTACGGCCATGTCGTAGCAGTCGCAAAGGCGAAATATACGTTCGCGTATTTCCCGCTGTGTAAATTCATCTCAACATGATCGGGATGCGCAAACATTCTTCTCTCTCTCTCTCTCTCTCTCTCTCTCTCTCTCTCTCTCTCTCTTTCGACTTACCGTACACACTTCCACGTGTTATCTCCAGTCAATTACTGATTTCTTCGGTTACCGTGAGCATCATATCGGAGTCGTCCTGCGTTCGAGAGAGAGAGAGAGAGAGAGAGGGGGGGAGGGAGGGACGAAAAAGTTGAGAAGTACTCATTAGCCCGCAAAAGCGGAAACTGTCCATTCTCATGTAATTCGAGCCGCTGCCACTAGATTACCGCCGTCCAAACAGTCTCAATTACGCGTCGTCTTTCGCACACGTCGCGGTTACGACTTGCACGCGCTCCGAGAAGGTCGATGCACCTGTCGATACTTCAGACGGCATAGTCGATCAAGAGCCGCCGCGAGTGTCCAAAGTATAATTCAATTCTAGCGCTCCCTTCGCCGACCGAAAATCTATTTTATCATGATCAAGTGACCGCATCGATTGGTTTGGTCGCGTCAGCCGGCTTCCTGCGCCTCGTTTTTTTACATTATCCTTCGCCCGTTTATCGTTCGCTCGGAATTGTCGGAAATGTTGGAACAAGTCGGCTACTTCCACGCTCGAGATCTTGAGGAAAAAGCCGTCGCGCTACTTTCTCGATTCTCGTCTCGCGATCCTTCTTTTCGTTAAAAATAAACGGTATTTCGGTAAGCTCGAGAACTGCATTAATTTTCCTCCTGTTCGGTCTAAAAAGTCAGCCGGGAACGACCACGGATACACAGGGAGGGGCAGGGAGGGAGATCTCGCGACGCCTCTCTCGTCGACGAAGGCTCGCTCGCAGGTAGAGATGGGAAAAAATTGCCGGGACGAATCTTGTAATTTTCGTCTATTTCGGGAACTCGTCGAAGCGAAATGAGACGTTTGTCGCAACCCTCTTGCGACCGAGTGTTTATCACACGTATATACATAGCAACCGTGCGACGCGGCGTGGGTGCGACACACTGTGCGTACAACAAGTTCAGCCGTGGTCTTCACCGATGTGCCATAAAGAGAGGGGGGGGAGAGAGAGAGAGAGAGAGAGAGAGAGAGAGAGAGAGAGAGAGAGAGAGAGAGAGAGAGAGAGAGAGAGAGAGAGAGAGGTCACCCCCTAATAGAAGTTTCACAATCCGAATTACCTACCCCGTCGCTCGCTCGCTCGCTCGCTCGTTCGCCCGCCCGCTCCGCTCGCTCGCGCGGGGACAAACACGTAATGCACCCGGGGGCAATGGCATCGCGCGAAGCGCGGCACCGTGTGTCGTTATGGTAACGCCTGCCCACCACATAAGTCTCTCTTCTTCCTATATTGTCCATTGGCCGTGTATCTCCCCTTTTTCTCGCACTATTTTGCGCCCCTAACGCCTATTCTTCGGCTCATATCAAGCCTGACTATTAAAGTATCGCCGGCGCTGAGAGTTTTCAGGTCGCCGTCCGTAGACAGGTCGGATGTCGAGGTCTCAGAGAACGTCAAC